CCGATTTCCTTTCTGCAATATAAAGCGGAGAAGGGGGGTCCGTGGTCGACTGGCGCCCCTCTTTACCTTTCTGAAACCTCTCGCTTCTCCAGGGGCTCCTTCTGCCCCCACTTCCTGCTAACTTCCGACCCACAGAGAGACCCCTTCCTGGAGAAGTCCCCCTCTTTTCGCATGGGAGCCGGACGTGACGGCGCTGCCTTCGGCTTCCTCCCCTTTGGGCTCCCTTGCGAAGTTGCCCAACTCCACGCCCACCCCATTGACGGGGGAGGGGGTTTCTGGAGAGGAGGAGGAGCACGGCCGGATCAAGACCCTTTGGTCCCTGAAAGAGAACCCAACAGACTCCAAACTCTGCAGACAGCATTTTCCAGCTGCTGCCTGGACCACCGAGCAGGGAGGGGAGAGATGCTCTTGGGCTGAAATTCTCCTTGCAGGATTCCCAAAACGGGCATCTGGTTTCCCACTGGGACTCCGGGAGAGCAGGATTCGGGGCGAGATGGGACCCTTGGTCTGCTCCAACTATAGGGCCTTCTTATGTTCTGTGTGTGCGCGTTCACACGTGCGTGTTTGTGTGTATGCACCTTCAGAGATTCCCTGGCTCTTCTCTGCAACAGATGAACCAGGTGTGCACCCACCCCTTCATTTGGGGGGGTGGGGGATCTCTCTTCCTCACCTGTCCAGCATTTTCCCTGTCTGCTCTCTCTCGCTCTGCCCCCACATCCCACCGACATTGTAAAGGATAAAGGTAAAGGGACCCCTGACCATTAGGTCCCAGTCGTGCCGACTCTGGGGTTGCGGCGCTCATCTCGCTTTACTGGCCGAGGGAGCGGCTTACAGCTTCTGGGTCATGTGGCCAGCATGACTAAGCCGCTTCAGGTGAACCAGAGCAGCGCATGAAAACGCCGCTTACCTTCCCGCTGGAGCGGTACCTATTTATCTACTTGCACTTTGACGTGCTTTCGAACTGCTAGGTTGGCAGGAGCAGGGACCCTAGCAATTGGAGCTCAACCCCCCCCGTCAAGGGGATTTGAACCGCCGACCTTCCGATTGGCAAGTCCTAGGCTCTGTGGTCTAGACCACAGCGCCACCCGCGTCCCTTCGCCACCGACGTTGTACCCCCCACCAAAAACAAAAGTTTGCTGCGCCTCAAGGCGCTTTGCACTCAGCCCGATTCCTGGGAGGTCAAGGGCGGCAGGAGGTGCGAGGGGGAGGGGCAGTCTTTCTGCCACGCCCCCTTTCTAGGGGAAGGTGCTGGGCGATGGGGAGGGCGAGCACCCAGCCTCCCTTTCTCTCTTTCCCTCTGGGAAATTGCATTAACTGGCTTTAATCCTGAAGGGAACAAGATGTATAACAAGATCGTGCCCTCCACCCAGCCAGAAGGAAACAGACCTCTCTTTTTGCAAGGGTTGCATGTTGGCAGTGCTTCTACCTCTAAAAAAATAAAGGAAAATGAAACTCTAGCCTTTGCTACTTTTGTTAAAAAAATGCCTACGGGTGGCACCGTACATGCAAAAGCAACCAAGTTGGATAGGAGGAAGCACATCACTTGGACCCCTTCCAGTCGGGTTTCAGGCTGCATCCTGAGACTGAAACTGCCTTGCTCTAGCTGGTCCAAGATCTCCTGTGGTTTCTGGCAGATGTGTGTTCAGACCCCTGGGCTCTCACTTGTGGGGTGCCTCAGGGCTCTGTCCTCTCCCCCATGCTTTTTAACATGCATATAAAACTGCTGAGAGAGACCATCAGGGGGTTTGGGCTGGGGGTTCAGCAGTATGCGGATGATACCCAGCTCTACCTCTCTTTCAAATCAGAACCAGTGAAGGTCCTGTGTGAGTGTCTGGAGGAGGTTGGAGGATGGATGGCAGCTAATGGATGGAGGTTGAATCCTGACAAGACAGAAATACTGTTTTTGAGGGACAGGGGGGCAGGCGGGTGTGGAGGGCTCACTGGTCCTGAATGGGGTAATTGTACCCCTGAAGGACCAGGTGCACAGCCAGGGAGTCATTTTGGACTCGCAGGTGTCCATGGAGGTGCAGGTCAATTCTGCATCCAGGGCAGCTGTTTACCAGCTCAATTTGGTATGCAGGCTGAGACCCTACCTGCCCGCAGACTGTCTCGCCAGAGTGGTGCATACTCTGTTTATCTCCGCTTGGATGACTGCAATGCGCTCTACGTGCGGTGGCCTTAGAAGGTGGCTTGGAAACTACAACTAATTCAGAATGTGGCAGCTGGACTGGTGACTGGGAGCGGCCGCCAGGACCATATAACACTGGTCCTGAAAGACCTGCATTGGCTCCCGGTATGTTTCTGAGCGCAATTCAGAGTGTTGGTGCATACCCTAATTGGCCTTGGCCCTGTATGGATGGAGCAAATCCACCCCATTGTTCAGCCCAGACACTGAGATCCAGCTCAGAGGGTCTTCTGCTGGTTCCCTCACTCCAAGAAGAAAGTTACAGGGAAGCAGGCAGAGGGCCTTCTTGGTGGTGGCGCCCGCCCTGTGAAATGCTCTCCCATGAGATGTATTGAGATGCCATGCAGATAAAGAACCACAGTACATAACTTTTAGAAGACTCCAGAGTGTCTGGGGCAACCCAATCAATGATGATGATGAATGATGATTGCTTGTCACAAAAGCAGTAGCCCTGGGGTAGCCCCATGATGCTTATAAGTGAAAATGGACCGACCAGGGGATTCACTGGTACCTGCAGCATCTTTTCTTTCCAAATGTGTACCATTCTTCCAGTGGAGTTGTGTTTGGGCCACAGATGGAGAGGTAAGGGTTAACTTTCCCTTCACACTTCGACCCCTCTCTGTGCCCTATTGGTTTCTTGTTTCCTGTAATAGTAGGTATGTCTTGGTTCATGGATTTGTAGGAAGTTCTCCTATGCTTTCCCCCCTCTGGGTGCTAAGTTGGGGACAATCAGGCATGAGTTTCCACTCATGTATTTTACACCCTCTCGTGTCACCTGCCACTTGCCCACACTGCCCTGTTCCAACCGTCCCACCTCATGCAAGATGCACACCTAAGAGCTGAGACTTTCTTCCTTATTCCACTAAAAGGTAAAGGTAAAGGGACCCCAGACCATTAGGTCCAGTCGCGGACGACTCTGGGGTTGCGATGTTCATCTCGCTTTATTGGCCGAGGGAGCCGGCGTACAGCTTCCGGGTCGTGGCCAGCATGACTAAGCCGCTTCTGGCAAACCACAGCAGCGCACAGAAACGCCGTTTACCTTCCCGCCGGAGCAGTACCTATTTATCTACTTACAATTCGTTCTTTCGAAATCCTAGGTTGGCTGGAGCTGGGACCGAGCAACGGGAACTCACCCTATCGGGGGGACTGGAACTGCCAACCTTCTGATCTAAACATCCCCTTTATTCCTGCTGCCACCAGGTATGTTTTACCTGAACAATTTGCCCTTCAAAGAATCAGGAGTCATTGCAGCACAATTAATGTATAAACTAATTTGTTTGCTTTATTATTATTATTACTTACCCGGTATTTTTTCCGCCCCATAGGGCACCACCGGACCATACGGTGGCCTAGTTTTTAGGGGGGTGGGGTGGGAATAAATGAAAAAAAAATTAATTTTCCCCCCCGACAGGCCCCCCAAAAGCAAAGAAGCCAGACAGCTGTCTTGGGGCTTCCTCTTTTTAGCCAGGCACAACCTGTCCAACCGGGAAGAAGCTGCGCACGGGCTTTTTTTTTAGCCGCGGGGCTGGGACGGGGAAAGCCCGAGCTTTCCCCCAACCCCAGGCCCCCAGAACAGGGAGCTATCCGCAAGCCTTCGGAGCAGCTCCAGAAAGGCTTGGCGTTATAGCTGCCTGAAGCCGGCATTCCACTCCAGTAGGACGCACACACCATTTCCCTACATTTTTGGAGGGGGGAAAAATTGCGTCCTATAGAGCAAAAAAATACGGTGATACTGGGTTCTATTTATACCCCGCCCTCCCCCGTGGCAGAGCCAAGTTTCCAGAGCGGCTTAACACCAGTAAAATTGCAGTAAAAACATAAATAGGGAAAAAACCATACCAATTTAAAAATACAGGTTAAAATGCAATTTAAAATACAGCCTCATTTTTAAAAGTAGCCCACAGATCAAAACCATAAGAGGGAGGGCAAACCACAACGGTCAGACTGAGTCCAAACCAAAGGCCAGGTGGAACAGCTCTGTCTTGCAGGCCCTGCGGAAAGATGTCAAGTCCCGCAGGGCCCCTAGTCTCTTGTGACAAAGCGTTGCACCAAGTCGGGGCCAGTACTGAAAAGGCCTTGGCCCTACTTGAGACCAATCTAACCACCTTGTGACTTGGAACTCCCAAAATGTTGTCATTTTGTGGGACCTTTTAAGGTCCTCCACACGGGGCATACCAAGGAGGAAGGGCGGTAACCGTAGGTAACGGATGGGGATCCTGGGCCGCAATTAAAACAATGGCATGTCATGCTGGCCATTCCCTATAAATACCTAGTTTAACCCAACTCATTTCCGGGTTTGAAATTGGGTCCATGATCCAAAATGTTCATGCAACCAGGCTGTTCGTAACACTGAGGTACGATTGTACAAAGCCATTTATACATTACTAACTATTGTGATAAGCTACCTTGATTACTTTAACTACATGAAAGTACAAACTTTACATTAAAACACCAGATCATCACATACATGGGATGCATTTAAATTTGATTTCCACCTATAGGAGCCTGTTCATGTAGAAGGAAGAAATGAACCTTGAGAGAGCCAGTGTGGTGTAGTGGTTAAGAGCGGTGGTTTGTAAATCTGGTGAACCGGTTTCCGCGTCTCCGCTCCTCCACACGCAGCTGCTGGGTGACCTTGGGCTAGTCACGCTTCTCTGAAGTCTCTCAGCCTCGCTCACCTCACACAGTGTTTGTTGTGGGGGAGGAAAGGAAAAGGAGAATGTTAGCCGCTTTGAGACTCCTTAGGGTAGTGATAAAGGGGGATATCAAATCCAACTCCTCCTCCTCTTGTTGAGGATAAATCTTTCTAACACTCCATACATCTAAATGGTTCCTTCCATATAAGTCCGTAAACATTTTGTAAGTACTCCATTAAACAGAAGCAGTTTCTGCACTCCTGGAATTTAAATGTTTCTTCCTTTCTGAGTCCATTGATGTTTTGTAAGGTGTCCACTCTGACTGAAGTTCTTTCCACACTCCATACATTTAAATGGTTTCTCACCTGTGAGTCTGTTAATGTACTCTTAGTTTCCTTTAGACTGAAGCTCTTTCCACACTTCATACATTTGCTGTATAAGGTTTCTCCCCTGTGTGAGTCCTTTGATGATTACTTAGCGTTCCACTATGACAGAAGCTCCTTCCACACTCCATACATTTAAATGGTTTCCCCCTGTGCAAGTCTGTTGATGTAGTCTTAGAGTTCCCTTTTGACTGAAGCTCTTTCCACACTCCATACATTTAAATGGTTTCTCCCCTGTGTGCGTTCGATGATGTAAAGTCAGACGATCACCTGAACGAAAGCTTTTTCCACATTCCAAACATTTACAAGGTCTCTCACCCGTGTGAGTTTGATGATGTCTATTAAGTGATGAACTCTGACTGAAACTTTTTCCACACTCCATACATTTAAATGGTTTCTCTCCTGTGTGACTCCGTAAATGTTTTCTAAGGTTTCCATTATGTGTGAAGCTCTTTCCGCAGTCCATACATTTAAATGGTTTCTCCCCTGTGTGAGTTCTATGATGTAAAGTCAGATGATCACTTGAACGAAAGCTCTTTCCACATTCCATACATTCATATGGTTTCTTCCCTGTGTGAGTCTGTAGATGTTGTCTAAGGCTTCCATTATGTGTGAAGCTCTTTCCGCAGTCCATACATTGAAATGGGTTCTCCCCTGTGTGAATCCGTAGATGTTGTCTAAGGCTTCCATTATGTGTGAAGCTCTTTCCGCAGACCATACATTTAAATGGGTTCTCCCCTGTGTGAGTCCATTGATGCTGTCTAAGATTTCTACCACTGTTGAAGCTCTTTCCACATTTCAAACATTTACGATTGGTTTTCTTCCTTTATGAGCCTGTAGATGTTGTCTAAGGTTTCCATTATGTGTGAAGCTCTTTCCACATTCGATACATTTAAATGGTTCCCCCCCCTGTATGAGTCTGTAGATGTTTGCTAAGGTTTCCATTATGTCTGAAGCTCTTTCCGCAGTCCATACATTTAAATGGTTTCTCCCCTGTGTGGGTCCGCTGATGGTTGCTAAGGATTCCATTATGTGTGAATCTCTTTCCGCAGTCCATACATTTAAATGGTTTCTCCTCTGTGTGGGTCCCGTTGATGGTTGCTAAGGTTTCCATTATGTGTGAAGCTCTTTCCACACTGCATACATTTGTAGGTTTTCACCCCATGTGAGTTTGATGATGTCTATTAAGTGATAAACTCTTACGGAAGCTTTTTCCACACTCCATACATTTAAATGGTTTCTCCCCTGTGTGAGTCCGTAGATGCTTGCTTAGCACTATGCTATGACAGAAGCTCTTTCCACCACTCTATACATTTAAATGGTTTCTCCCCTGTGTGAGTCCGTTGATGGTTGCTTAGCGTTATGCTATGACAGAAGCTCTTTCCACACTCTATACATTTAAATGGTTTTTCTGTTGCGTGAATCCTTTGATGTACAATAAGTTGTCTACTCATACTGAATCTCCATCCACACTGCATACATTTGTAGGGTTTCTCACTCATGTGAGTTAGACGATGTAAAGTAAGAGATGAAGTTTGTCTGAAGCTCTTTCCACACTCCATTACCTTTAAACGGCTTCCCCCACTCTGTGAGTTTATTAACTGTGCACATTGACTGAAGCACATTCCACATTCACCACATTTAAATGGTCCTCTTCGTATTTCCAAATGAAATTACAGATGACACACTGTCTTCTCCATAACCTGCTCGGGAAAGTGAGAGGAGAGGAAACCCCTGTTAGTATTTCAAGGGAGAGAACAAAGACTGTAACACACATCAAATGCAATTAGCACCTTCTCTTATTTCAACCTATTGTACATTCCTCCCTGTCTTCTTTATGTTCCAAATTTTAAGCAAATGAGGTGAAACAATGCCAAATAATAGGAACGCATCATCAACCTTCCATAATACTAAATCATCATTAATAAAGTAGTTTCATCTAAGAATACAGTTGTGGGGTTGCCTTTTTAAATAAGGACCTGCCTCACAGGAAAGGGAGTTGTTCTTCCACGAACGTGCCCTCCATTTCTCAGAATCAGAGTTGCTAATGACATTTTTCATTCTCTGTGTAATATTATTCCACCTCTGGGGCACATTTTAGCCCTTTGGACCTCTGGATATTTATGAATCACCCACACAGTCCCTTGGGCCCCAGGAGGTGCATAGCAACTGTCAGTGTTTGTAAAAAGCAAAAAAGGAGGTAAGGGTTTTGACCTCCCTTTGTCTCCTTAGCCTGGTCCTCGGACCCTTGTCGGCACAAAAGAGTCCACGAGAATATCCTTGCAGAGTTTTATTCTTAAAAGTCTTTGTTCAAAAGCAACTGAACAACTATACACACCAGCACTAACCAACCCAAACACCAGCAACCAAACTAACATTTCTCACTCTATATATACAACTTGGTGCAAGCCGCTGAGTCATGCTGACCCAGCTTTATTCGCATTAAAGAAACAGCGGCCATTTATCCGTGACACCCCTTCTGTTTCTTAAATGCGAAAAACCCCAACAGAAACAATACATACATACAATACATACATACACTATATACATAAACCCAGTTTTGTCATCAATTCATTAAGACATGTTGCTGGCAAAGGCTTGGTAAAGAAATCAGCAATATTATCTTGTGACTGACAATACTCCAGTTTGATTACCCCATTCTGTACACAATCTCTCACATTCGCATGACGGATAGCAATATGTTTTGATGCGGATTTCATTATTTCCGAGCCCGCTAATGCAATGCACGATTGGCTATCTTCATACACTTGGATAGGCAAATCTACTTTACAATCTAGATCTTTTAGTATCTGTATAAACCATATGATTTCATTGCATGCTAGCGACAGGCTCCCATATTCTGCCTCACAGGATGAGGTTGCAACAAATCCTTGTTTCTTGGAATTGGCAAACAACATAACCATTCCACTTGTAGATTTTCTAGTAGCTACACAGCTTCCCCAGTCCACATCAAAAAATGCTTCTAGTTTTTCATCTTGTGTACTAGATATCTTTAAACATACATTTAATGTCCCCTTTAGGTATCTGATAAGCCTTTTCAAAGCACACCAATTGGCAGTACTGGCTTTAGATACACGTTGGCTCAGAACATTTGTAGCACATGCAATGTCTGGCCTTGACCACTGGCTTAAATACAACAGTGATCCTATTTTTGAGTGATACAACTCAGGCTGATCAAATTCATCATCACACACTGTCTTTGGGAAATCTGGTGTCATGGGAGTCTGAACTGGCTTGCAGTTTTCCATGCCAAACTGCTCTATCAAATGAAGAATTTTCTCTTTCTGGCTTAATAGAAAGCTTCCATCAGCTTCCTGCCTTACTTCTACTTCCAAGTAATTGCTTACAGGCCCCAAGGCTTTAAGCTTAAACCTCTTTTCAGTTGACTTGTGAGCTTCTGGATCTCATCTGTGGAACTCCCTGCTACAAGCAAATCATCAACAAAGACAAAGAGCATTAGATATTTGTTGCCTGTCCCCTTGGTGTACAGGCATGGATCAGCCACACTCCTTTCAAAACCAAGTTTTACAAGGGCTTCATTTAAACACTGGTTCCAACACCTTTCACTTTGTTTGAGACCATAAACAGCCTTTCTCAAATGCCAGACTGCACCATTCTCCTCTTCAAAACCAGGGGGTTGTCTCATTAACACTTCATGGTCTAAATTTGCATGCAGATATGCAGCAGCAACATCAAAATGGTGCACTGCTAGTTGTCTTACAGCAGCAATAGAGAGCATTAAACGAAGTTTCACTCTTTGCAGTGGGAGAAAACACTTCATCATAACTCTCCCCTTTTATCTGAGTGAACCCTCTGGCTACTAATCTGGCTCGAAAACATGGTTCCCCAGATGCAAGGGTTTTCCTTTTTTAAACCCACTTGCATGACACCACTGCCACATGGAGGCGGCATTATGACCTCAAACTCTTTGTTATGTTTAAAAGAGTCCATTTCTTCTTTCATAGCTTGTTCCCACAAAGCACGTTACCCCCTAAAGAAGTCTAAGACTTCATTATAACTTTGTGGTTCCACACAACTCACATTGCATACTCTCACTCCTCCTAGGGTCAAATGCTGAGAAGGTACACCCTTGTTTGAACGCTGGGAGTGCCTAGGCACAACTACTTCTCCCCCCCCTTATCTCTGGCTCTTCTTCCTCTAGAGAAGAAGTATTATCTATTGCCACATCCTTTGGGGAAATCTGTGCCTCCTCCTCATCCTGCTCCTGCGTTTCCAATGGCTGAGAAGAAGCCTCTTCTCTTACTTGCAGGGGCAGTAGGCAATCTGGGTTGGCATGGATCGCAGTCCATCTGTCCTGGTCAGCAACATCTGCACTTCGTGACAGAAGCACGCGTCCTGGGCATAAATTGAAGTGCCACCCTTTGCCATAGGACTGATATCCTACAAACCGCAGTTTCTGTGCTCTAGCGCCCCCCTTTCTGGTGCTGAGCTTTGGGAATATTTACATGTGCCCAAGAACCCCAGTTATGGAGCATTGTCCACTCTGGTTCTTTCCCAAACAACACACGATAAGGAATATATTTTATAGAGCTAGACCAGGTTCTATTAATCAAAAAGTTCGCTGTAAGGAGAGCCTTCCACCACAGCCTATGGTTGTGGCCCAATCCTCCATCCACTAGCAGGCAGTCCTTTACTGACTGTACTACAGCCCCACGTATTTCACACAGACCATTTTCAGCAGGGCTATAAGGGTTAGTCAAACGTTGAGTGTTCCCCTTGCGCCGCAACCATGCCCCAAATTGTTTGTTCAGAAATTCTCCACCCCTATCTGTTTGCAACTGCACAACAGGGCGAGCAAAGAGCTTTTCAGCTTGGGCAACCCATTCTCTGAATGTGGGGAAACACTCAGATTTCTGCTTTAACAAAAACAACCAACTAAAACGTGATTTATCATCTATTACCAGAAAAGCATATCTGGCGACCCCTTCAGTCTTCTGTGGAAAAGGGCCTATCACATCACAATGGACAAGTTCTAAAACTTCTAGATACTCTGTCACTTTTAGAAGCCACAGGCTTCCTCTTAGATTTGGCCATTTTACATACATTGCAATCTAGGAAACAGTTACAGCTATAGACTTTTAGGTTCTTGCACACCTTTTGCATTTCTGAAAGCAAACGGAAATTGGCGTGACCCAGTTTTCTGTTCAGTTCATGTACACACCCCTTATGAACTGGCAAATTATCCTGAACCACCTGGGCTGCTTTAACAGGCTTGTCCTGCATTACATATAACTCATTTTCCAACTTTGTATGGCCACATACCTGAGTTCCATTCTTTATCAGACAACCATCCCGTGTGAAGTTAACACTATATCCTGCATTAATCAAACAGCTTACAGACAGCAAACAATAGTCCAAACTGCTGACAAACAGAGTCTCTGGTAGAGTAGTGTTCAAGCACTGCAGGAAACATGTTCCCTGGCCATCAATCTTGCTTCTACGACCATCAGCAAGATAGATTGAGTCTTTTCCATCAGCTGGCTTCCCCAGGGTCTTAAAGTCCTCCCGACTGTTGCAGATAATCCTGCTGCTCCCAGAGTCCAGCAACCATGTTCCTCGAGGTATCTTCCTCTCCTCCCGAGAAAATGCAGACACAAACTGAGCAGAACGCGTGTTCTTCTTCACTGAAGAGAACCCCTTCTGCTTACGTTTCTGCGTTGATTGCTGTCTCTGCTCCACGTCGTCTCCTGGAAGTCTAGCCCTGCATTGACGTTGGAGATGCCCGGGTTGGTTGCATCTATAGCACCTCCTCACCGCCATGGCCAAGTCCAAACCTTGGTGTTGCTCCATGGACAGATTCTGCTGCTGGCCCCCTCGGCTATAACTCCTCCGCTCTTGGAGTTCAGCTTGTTTATCTGACCTTCTTTCTGCTTCTTCAGTCAATCTGCCAACCACATATACTCAAGGGTCAGATCTCGGGGACGCATACTCTCCATGCTGTTAATCACAGGCAACCAGCTTTCAGGCAAGCTTGAAAGGATAATGTAGGTTTGGTCAGTCTCATCATAATGCTTACCTCTCTGCTGTAGTTGAAGAAACAGAGATTTCAGTGTTTGAAAATAAGTTGCCAAACTCTCACCTTCCCTCATAACAGTCCTGAACAGCCTTCTGGTCAGAGAAATTATAGTTCCAGCAGTTTCTCTGACTTGCCCTTAATAAATTAAAGCACTCAAATGCTGTGCTGGCATTTGCTACATGCAATAACTGAGAGTTGCTCAAACACAGCATAATTTGGGCACCAGCCCCTTCATCCAGCCATTTTTTCTCAGCAGAGTCAGTTCTCAAAACCTCAGTTTCAACACAGTCCCATAGCCCATCTCTCCTTAACAACTGCTGCATTTTAATTGACCAACTCAGCCAGTTGTTTTCTGAGAGAAGTTCAAAAGGGATGCCTCCCCCAATATTTACAACTTGGGAAGATTGGAAATCTGCCATCTCTGTTGGTGCTTGCTGAGCCCCTTCTGTGGGGTCTCCAGCAATCTCTCCTGACTCTCTCTTTAGAGTCCAACTGGATGGTCCTGGCTGGCACTCACCGGCTTCTAGCTGCTGCCTCTGTTGACCTTCAGGTCCCCGCCTGGCTCTGCAACTGGTGTAGCCACTACTGTGGTCCTCTAGCAGTTCAAACTGTCCCAGTAGCTGAAGTAGAGTGCTTTCCTTAGCCTCAGATCCTAGCCGCTCCAGCGTCACTGCAGACAGTTACAGCTTGCCACCAACTGCTCCAACGCACAGCCACTGGCTCCATACACCACCAGGACTCGCCAGCTCCCTGCTGAGATGTTGTCAGTCGTTTTTGCACTCTGCACATGCTCAGAAACACTGGGCCCATAACCTATCAGTGTTTGTAAAAAGCAAAAAAGGAGGAAAGGGTTCTGACCTCCCTTTGTCTCCTCAGCCTGGTCCTTGAACCCTTGTCGGCACAAAAGAGTCCACGAGAATATCCTTGCAGAGTTTTATTCTTAAAAGTCTTTGTTCAAAAGTGACTGAATAACTATACACACCAGCACTAACTAAATAACTAACTAACCAACCAACCAACCCAAACACCAGCAACCAAACTAACATTTCTCACTCTATATATACAACTTGGTGCAGGCCGCTGAGTCATGCTGACCCAGCTTTATTCGCATTAAAGCAACAGCGGCCATTTTAGCCGTGGCAGCAACCATATTGGGAGACCCAGGGTTCAGGTTTTTCTAGGGACTGTAGCATGGAACTAGTGAGAAGGCTTGGCGCTTGGAATAAACTGAAGGTGTGCTCAGGTAGGCTAATGTCCTTGGAGCTGGACCTCCATCTGTCAGCCTTGCAGTGCAGAGGGAGAGCTGGAGATGCAGGAAAAGGCTGTTGGAGCCTGGCTGCTGGAATACCAGATTGAAACACTCACCCCAATTTTTATTTATTAGATTTAGAAACCACCCTTCTAAGTCTGAGTGTGAGGGGGAGGCCAGGAGTCCTGTCTCATGCTGTGTGTAGGAGCAAGAGACATGGATGGCGAGGGAGCTGCTGCAGTGACCTGCCACACCTGTGCCATGTTTGTCCTCCTGCCTGAGAATGTGCAGAATTACACCTGCAGCAGATGCAGGAAGAGAAGGAACATCAAGCTGAGGTCCGCCTATCTGCCCTACGAGCTCCTGAGCAAGATGAGGGATTTCTCGAAAGAGAGCAGAGTGGATGGTCCTGGGACACCAACACAGGTGGGGTTGGCCCCAGCCAGGAGGAAGATTGCTGGTTGCAGGAAACGAAAACCTGGAGCAATGTGGTACAGAGAAACGGGGCTGTTAGGAACCCTGATGTGTCACTTGAGCTGCAAAATCAATTCTGGGTCAGAGGAGCAAGATGCAGACCTCAGAACGCACCAAGGTGGCTGTGGAAGGGGCAGGGTATGGAGCAATTCCTACCACTCCCCAGAGGAGGAAGAGGGATGTGATGGTGGTACGTGACTTCCTACTAAGGGGGACAGAGGCAGCAGTGTGTGGAGGTAACAGGATCAGTGTTAGAAACTCATATATAGAAGCTAGGTGCCAAATGTCTTGTTAAATCAAGGCTACAGCCGCCCAAAATTGAATGTCTAGGAGTCATGAGAAGAGAAGACTCCCTGGAAAAGACCCTGATGTTGGGAAAGATGGAGGGCACAAGGAGAAGGGGACAACAGAGGATGAGGTGGTTGGACAGTGTTCTCGAAGCTACCAGCATGAGTTTGACCAAATTGCGGGAGGTAGTGGAAGACAGGAGTGCTTGGCGTGCTCTGGTCCAGGGGGTCACGAAGAGTCGGACACAACTAAACAACAAGAGTTGCCATTTTGGGGTAGGATGGCTCTAAAGTCTTATTTCTGAAATGATGGACGGATTGTGATTGATTCTCAGTTAAACATCTGGCTAGTTCAAAGGACAACCTTGTGCTAGGTTTAAGAACTTCTGAGAACTTAAAGAAGAAATGTCCTTTGATCCAGGGACAGTACACATAGATATTTATCAACGACTTGGATGATGGACTCAAGGGCATCCTGATCAAATTTGCAGATGACACCAAACTGGGAGGGGTGGCTAACACCCCAGAGGACAGGATCACACTGCAAAACGGCCTTGACAGATTAGAGAACTGGGCCAAAACAAAGAAGATGAATTTTAACAGGGAGAAATGTAAAGTATTGCACTTGGGCAAAAAAAATGAGAGGCACAAATACAAGATGGGTGACACCTGGCTTGAGAGCAGTACATGTGAAAAGGATCTAGGAGTCTTGGTTGACCACAAACTTGACATGAGCCAACAGTGTGACGCGGCAGATAAAAAAGCCAATGCAATTCTGGGCCTCATCAATAGGAGTATAGCATCTAGATCAAGGGAAGTAATAGTGCCACTGTATTCTGCTCTGGTCAGACCTCACCTGGAGTACTGTGTCCAGTTCTGGGCACCACAGTTCAAGAAGGACACTGACAAACTGGAACGTGTCCAGAGGAGGGCAACCAAAATGGTCAAAGGCCTGGAAATGATGCCTTATGAGGAACGGCTAAGGGAGCTGGGCATGTTTAGCCTGGAGAAGAGGAGGTTAAGGGGTGATATGATAGCCATGTTCAAATATATAAAAGGATGTCACATAGAGGAGGGAGAAAGGCTGTTTTCTGCTGCTCCAGAGAAGCGGACACGGAGCAATGGATCCAAACTACAAGAAAGAAGATTCCACCTAAACATTAGGAAGAACTTCCTGACAGTAAGAGCTGTTCGACAGTGGAATTTGCTGCCAAGGAGTGTGGTGGAGTCTCCTTCTTTGGAGGTCTTTAAGCAGAGGCTTGACAACCATATGTCAGGAGTGCTCTGATGGTGTTTCCTGCTTGGCAGGGGGTTGGACTCGATGGCCCTTGTGGTCTCTTCCAACTCTATGATTCTATGATTCTATGATATTGGCCTATTGTGACTTCTTTTTCTTAATGGTGACACAGACCATTCATAATGAAAGATGATTCTTCACAACAAGTGTGAGAGGGCAGTGAAGACAAGAGACGTCAGCTCACTATCACATTGTTCACTGCTGCTGTTCACTGGATCAGTGATTTTGTTTAAATGAGCTACACATACTGTAGGGTCTCAGTGCATACTGAAAGGACATACCCCTCAATCTTTCCTGCTCAGTGTTTTTCTTTTTTTGGTTTTGGGCAGGGAGATGAGCTCAGACTCATCATACCAGAGTCTCTCGTTTGTCAAATAAGTAAAGCATAAGTGTTATTGATGCTATTATTTTACTGTAAAAATCTTCAAAAAAGTTTGTCTTGTGAAGAAGCAAAGACAACACAAACCTGGGAGTCTCTGTAGATTTTCCATAGTTATTTTAAGGTGGGGGGCCTCTGAATTCTGCACCAGCTGAAGTTACTGAACCCTCTTCAGAGGCAGCCCTACCTATAACACATTGCAGCAATCTAATCTTGAGGTTACCAGAGCAATTATTATTTATTAAATTTGTTAATCACACTTCATCTAAAGACCACGGAGCAATTATAATGGCGTATAATTCCCCATCAGTCCCCTGGGCAATAATGGATAGGGAATGTGCCTCCTCATCCCATAGTCAGGACACAGCACTATCCTTGTAGGAATTCTCTGCCCAAGCCTCTCTCACTGTCCTCCTTTGGGGTGGGGGGCCATGGACTCCTCGCCCCCACCCCAAGGGAGAGCCCCACCTGTGCTCCAACAGGGAAGATCTGCAACACGGGAAAAGGTGGATATTAAAGGTCCAGAGGCCTGATTGTGGTGAAGAAAGGAAAGAGAGAGGAGGTGGAAGCAGGGATGTTTCCATGGGAAGAGATTCAAAAGGTGAGTATAAATTAGGGTCATTGTACCTGGCTCCCTTTCCGACTCAGAACCTGAGAGACACTCCCTTCTGGAACATATCCAGGACATTTTCTGGAATATAAGCCAGGCATCTTTGGGGACATCATCCAGACCTTCTTTTACTATGGGAACCTTGGAATCATACAGATGTCAGATGTACAGATGTCAATCACAATCCCTGAAAAATCGTCTAAAGACCCCTTGGTATCCACGCCCACCTTGAACTCCCAAGTCACGCTGAGCCCAAAGAAACCTTCTCTGCTGAGGTTTCTCTGAAAATACTTATTCTCTGCGTTTTGCTTTCTCCTTCCTGTATGATCTGGAACATCCTCCTGATGCGTTTGTCTGTCTCTGTTCTGTCCTCTTTTGTTTCACTCCTCATTTATCAATCCCCCACCCCTTTTCCTCCAAGGAGGCAGGTGAGGCCAAGAGGCAAGACCCCCCAGGGGAATTTAACCCCCTGCCTCCCAGGTCCTTGTCGGACACTCTTTCTTCTCAGGCTAGTCTCATTCAGGGGCTTCACCCGAGGCTCCAATTGCTTTGACTAGAAGCCTCCTCGAGCAATCTTAGAATGATTGCTATTCTTCTTCTGTTTATCTATACCCCACCTTTTTATCCTGACACGGACTCCTTCAAGTGCCCCTCTGCTCTCCTCTCCCAATGGACCAATGGTCTGGCTTGGAAGAATGCAGATCAAAGGGTCTGGAGCTCTGGAGCTCCCAGCATCCGAGGCAGCAGCTTCCCTGGGACAAAATGGGGGGGGGAGGGGGTTCAGCTTGCAGGAATCCTTCTCTAGGTCAATGGAGAAGCCAAGGCAGCCCCTGCAGAAACCCCCCTGCCAGCACCCCAGGTGGAGGCATCCCAGAAAAAGGCCCCGTGCCTCTTTCTTTCTCCACCCCCCCCGTCATTTATCAACATGGCGTCTCACCCCCAGGGACGCTTCCATTCAACCCTCAGCCCCCCAACATCCTCTGCTCCCCCCCCTCTTCCCCAAAGTCTCCCCTACACCCTCTGGCCTTCCTTGGCACGGCTCGCCCTGCTTGGGGGTGGGGGCTTTTGGGGGCACCCCCTTGGTGGGAAAATGTGTCTGGTTTGTGTGGGGGGCTTCAAAGGAGACGGCGCAAGGGAAACACTGCGGGTGGGGGGGGAGGTCCACGCTTTGCAGCTGCCTTGCATGGATGCGAGCCTCTCCATATGGGTCCCAGGACAAGAGATTAATAGGGGGGGCTCTGTGCCCCTTTCTCTCCGACCCCATCGCCCCTCCCCGCCCTCGTCCCAAGGCAGGAGCTTTTGGGGGAGCAAGAAAGGGTCTCTCTATCCTTTTCCTACCCCCCTCCTTCCACCGGCATCTTTACCTCTTTCTCCTCTGACCATCCGCCTCCCTTCGTAGCTATTCCGATTTCCTTTCTGCAATATAAAGCGGAGAAGGGGGGTCCGTGGTCGACTGGCGCCCCTCTTTACCTTTCTGAAACCTCTCGCTTCTCCAGGGGGTCCTTCTGCCCCCCTCCCCACTTCCTGCTAACTTCCGACCCACAGAGTGACCCCTTCCTGGGAGAAGTCCCTTCCTCTTTTCGCATGGGAGCCGGACGTGACGGCGCTGCCTTCGGCTTCCTCCCCTTTGGGCTCCCTTGCGAAGTTGCCCAACTCCACGCCCACCCCATTGACGGGGGAGGGGGTTTCTGGAGGAGGAGGAGCACGGCCGGATCAAGACCCTTTGGTCCCTGAAAGAGAACCCAGACAGACTCCAAACTCTGCAGACAGCATTTTCCAGCTGCTGCCTGGACCACCGAGCAGGGAGGGGAGAGATGCTTTTGGGCTGAAATTCTCCTTGCAGGATTCCCAAAACGGGCATCTGGTTTCCCACTGGGACTCCGGGAGAGCAGGATTCGGGGCGAGATGGGACCCTTGGTCTGATCCAACTATAGGGCCTTATGTTCTGTGCGCGCGCGTTCACACGTGCGTGTGTTTGTGTGTATGCACCTTCAGAGACATTCCCTGCCTCTTCTCTGCAACGAGGGTGAACCAGGTGTGCACCCACCTACCTTCATTTGGGGGGTGGGGGTGGAGAATCTCTTATTCCTCACCTGTCCAGCAGTTTCCCGGTCTGCTCTCTCTCCCTCTGCCCCCACATCCCACCGACATTGTAAAGGTAAAGGAACCCCTGACCATTAGGTCCAGTCGTGGCTGACTCTGGGATTGCGGCGCTCATCTCGCTTTACTGGCCGAGGGAGCCGGCTTACAGCTTACAGCTTCCGGGTCATGTGGCCAGCATGACTAAGCCGCTTCTGACGAAACAGAGCAGCGCACGGAAACGCCGCTTACCTTCCCGCCGGAGCGATACCTATTTATCTACTTGCACTTTGACGTGCTTTCGAACTGCTAGGTTGGCAGGAGCTGGGACCTAGCAACTGGAGCTCACCCCGTCAAGGGGATTCGAACCTCCGATCTTCCGAACGGCAAGTCCTAGGCTCTGTGGTTTAACCCACAGCGCCTCCCACGCCCCATCGCCACCGACGTTGTACCCCCCACCAAAAACAAAAGTTTGCGGCGCCCCAAGGCGCTTTGCACTCAGCCCGATTCCTGGGAGGTCAAGAGCGGCAGGAGGTGCGAGGGGGAGGGGCAGTCTTTCTTGTTAAGCCACGCCCCCTTTCTAGGGAAATATGCTGGGCGATGGGGAGGGCGAGCACCCAGCCTCCCTTTCTCTCTTTCCCTCTGGGAAATTGCATTAACTGGCTTTAATCCTGAAGGGAACAAGACGTATAACAAGATCGCGCCCCCAACCCAGCCAGAAGGAAACAGACTTCTCTTTCTGCAAGGGTTGCATGTTGGCAGTGCTTCTACCTCTAAAAAAATAAAGGAAAATAAAACGCTAGCCTGTGCTACTTTTTAAAAAAATGCCTACGGATGCACCGTCCATGCAAAAGCAACCAAGTTGGATAGGAGGAAGCACATCACTTGGACCCCTTCCAGTCGGGTTTCAGGCCCCACCCTGGGACTGAAACTGCCTTGCTCTAGCTGGTCCGAGATCTCCTGTGGTTTCTAGCAGATGTGTGTTCAGACCCCTGGGCTCTCACTTGTGGGGTGCCTCAGGGCTCTGTCCTCTCCCCCATGCTTTTTAACATGCATATAAAACTGCTGAGAGAGACCATCAGGGGGTTTGGGCTGGGTGTTCATCAGTATGCGGATGATACCCAGCTCTACCTCTCTTTTAAATCAGAAGCAGTGAGGGTCCTGTGTGAGTGTCTGGAGGAGGTTGGAGGATGGATGGCAGTTTATGGACGGAGGTTGAATCCTGACAAGAAGGAAGTACTGTTTTTGAGGGGCAGGGGGCAGGCGGGTGTGGAGGGCTCACTGGTCCTGAATGGGGTAATTGTACCCCTGAAGGACCAGGTGCGCAGCCTGGGAGCCATTTTGGACTCGCAGATGTCCATGGAGGCGCAGGTCAATTCTGTGTCCAGGGCAGCTGTTTACCAGCTCCATTTGGTACGCAGGCCGAGACCCTGCCCGCCCACAGAGTGTCTTGCCAGAGTGGTGCATACTCTGTTTATCACCCGCTTGGATGACTGCAATGCGCTCTACGTGGGGCTGCCTTAGAAGGTGGCTTGGAAACTACAACTAATTCAGAATGTGGCAGCTGGACTGGTAACTGGGAGCAGCCGCCAGGACCATATAACACTGGTCCTGAAAGACTTGCATTGGCTCCTGGTACGTTTCTGAGCGCAATTCAGTGTTGGTGCGTACCCTAATTGGCCTTGGCCCTGATGGAAGAAATCCACCCCATTGTTCAGCCCAGACACTGAGATCCAGCTCCGAGGGTCTTCTGCTGGTTCATTCACTCCAAGAAGAAAGTTACAGGGAAGCAGGCAGAGGGCCTTCTTAGTGGTGGCGCCCGCCCTGTGAAACGCTCTCCCATGAGATGTATTGAGATGCCATGCAGATAAAGAACCACAGTACATAACTTTTAGAAGACTCCAGAGTGTCTGGGGCAACCCAATCAATGATGATGATGATGATGATGATTGCTTGTCACAAAAGCAGTAGCCCTGGGGTAGCCACATGATGCTTATAAGTGAAAATGGACCAACCGGGGGATTCACTGGTACCTGCAGCATCTTTTCTTTCCAAATGTGTACCATTCTTCCAGTGGAGTTGTGTTTGGGCCACAGATGGAGAGGCAAGGGTTAACTTTCCCTTCACACTTCGACCCCTCTCTGTGCCCTATTGGTTGGAAGGAAGTTTCTTGTTTCCTGTAATAGTAGGTATGTCTTAGTTCATGGATTTGTAGGAAGTTCTCCTATGGTTTCTCCCCTCTGGGTGCTAAGTTGGGGACAATCAGGCATGAGTTTCCACTCATGTATTTTACACCCTCTCATGTCACCTGCCACTTGCCCACACTGGCCTGTTCCAACCGTCCCACCTCATGCAAGATGCACACCTAAGAGCTGAGACTTTCTTCCTTATTCCACTAAAAAGTAAAGGTAAAGGGACCCCTGACCGTTAGGTCCAGTCATGGCCGACTCTGGGGTTGCGGTGCTTATCTCGCTTTATTGGCCGAGGGAGCCAGCGTACAGCTTCCGGGTCATGTGGCCAGCATGACTAAGCCGCTTCTGGCGAACCAGAGCAGCGCACGGAAACGCCGTTTACCTTCCCGCTGGAGTGGTACCTATTTATCTACGTGCAATTCGTTCTTTCGAAATGCTAGGTTGGCTGGAGCAGGGACAGAGCAACGGGAACTCACCCTATTGCAGGGATTGGAACCACCAACCTTCTGATCTAAACATCCCCTTTATTCCTGCTGCCACCAGGTATGTTTTACCTGAACAATTTGCCCTTCAAAGAATCAGGTCATTGCAGCACATAATGTATAAACTATTTTTTGCAGCACCATTAATGTATAAACTATTTGTTGCTTTATTATTATTATTATTATGTTTTATTTATACCCCGCCCTCCCTGGGCAGAGCCGAGTTCAGGGCGGCTAACACCAGTAAAATTACAGTAAAACATAATAGGGGGAAAAAACCATACCAATTTAAAATACAGGTTAAAATGCAATTTAAAATGCAGCCTCATTTTAAAAATAGCCCACACATCAAAACCATAAGGGGAGGGAAACACAAGGGTCAGACTGAGTCCAAACCAAAGGCCAGGTGGAACAGTCTGTCTTGCAGGTCCTGCGGATAGATGTCAAATCCCGCAGGGCCCTAGTTTCTTGTGACAGAGCGTTGCACCAAGTAGGGGCCAGTACTGAAAAGGCCCTGCCCTAGTTGAGACCAATCTAACCACCTTGTGCCATGGGACCTCCAAAATGTTGTCATTTAAGGTCCTCCACGGGGCATACCAGGAGAGGCGGTCCCGTAGGTACGTGGGTCCTGGGCCGCAATTAAAACAATGCATGCCATGCTGCCATTCCTATAATACTAGTTTAACCAACTCATTTCCGAGTTTGAAGTGGTCGTAATCCAAACTGTTCATCAACGAGGCTGTTTGTAACCCGAGGTACGATGTACAAAGCCATTTATACATTACTAACTATTGCGATACGCTACCTTGATTACTTTACTACATGAAAGTACAACTTTACATTAAAACACCAGATCATCACATACATGGGATGCATTTAAATTTGATTTCCACCTATAGGAGCCTGTTCATTTGAAGGAAGAAATGAACCAGTGAGAGAGCCAGTGTGGTGTAGTGGTTAAGAGCGGTGGTTCGTAATCTGGTGAACCGGGTTCGCGTCTCTGCTCCTCCACATGCAGCTGCTGGGTGACCTTGGGCCAGTCACACTTCTCTGAAGTCTCTCAGCCCCACTCACCTCACAGAGTGTTTGTTGTGGGGGAGGAAGGGAAAGGAGAATGTTAGCCGCTTTGAGACTCCTTAGGGTAGTGATAAAGCGGGATATCAAATCCAAACTCCTCCTCCTCCTCTTCTTTTTTTTTTAATTTTTTTTTATTGGTTTTCCAACACATATTAAAAACAATACAATACACAATACACAGACAAACAAACACATAAACACATAAATATAATTTCAGAACCTTCTTTTCATAAATCTTACTTCTCCGACTTCCCCATACCTCCCATTTCTGCATCCCTATTTCAAAATTTCTTCTGCAAATCCTCACTTAATTTAACTAATTACTGTTTTCCCCCCCTTCTCTCTTACCTAGTCATTTACAACTGTAATTCTCTTTTTTCTCTAACCTCGACATTTTAGCACTCATTAATTTTATAATAATTCTTAAGATAATCTTTAAATTTCTTCCAATCTTCCTCCACTGTCTCTTTTCCTTGGTCACGGATTCTGCCAGTCATCTCAGCCAGTCCCATGTAGTCGATCACCTTCGTCTGCCATTCTTCCAGCGTGGGTAGTTCTTGTGTCTTCCAATACTTTGCTAAGAGAACCCTTGCTGCTGTAGTAGCATACATAAAAAAAGTCCTATCTCTCTTTAACACCAATTGGCCGACCATGCCCAGGAGAAAAGCCTCTGGTTTCTTATGAAAAGTACATTTAAGTACCTTCTTCATTTCATTATAGATCATTTCCCAGAAGGCCTTAATCTTCGGGCATGTCCACCAAAGGTGGTAAAAAGTACCTTCAGTTTCATTACATTTCCAGCATTTGTTGTTGGGCAAATGATAAATTTTAGCAAGCTTGACTGGGGTCATGTACCACCTGTAAATCATTTTCATAATATTCTCTCTTAAGGCATTACATGCCGTAAACTTCATACCGGTGGTCCATAACTGTTGCCAGTCAGCAAACACTCCTCCTCTTCTTCTTGTTGAGGAAAAATCTTTCTACACTCCATACATCTAAATGGTTCCTTCCATATAAGTCCGTAAACATTTTGTAAGTACTCCAGTAAACAGAAGCAGTTTCTGCACTCCTGGAATTTAAATGTTTCTTCCTTTGTGAGTCCATTGATGTTTTGTAAGGTGACAGAAGCTCTTTCCACACTCCATACATTTAAATGGTTTCCCACCTGTGTGAGTTTGTTAATGTACTCTTAGTTTCCTTTAGACTGAAGTTCTTTCCACACTTCATACATTTACTGTATATGGTTTCTCCCCTGTGTGAGTCCTTTGATGGTTTCTTAGCATTCCACTGTGACAGAAGCTCTTTCCACACTCCATACATTTAGATCATTTTCCTCCTGTGTGAGTCTGTTGATGTAGTCTTAGAGTTCCCTTTTGACCAAAGCTCTTTCCACACTCCATATATTTAAATGGTTTCTCCCCTGTGTGCGTTCGATGATGTAAAGTCAGATGTTCACCTGAACGAAAGCTTTTTCCACATTCCAAACATTTACAAGCTCTCACCTGTGTGAGTTTGATGATGTTTATTAATTGCTGAACTCTGACTGAAGCTTTTTCCACACTCCATACATTTAAATGGTTTCTCCCCTGTGTGAATCCGTAGATGTTTTCTAAGGTCTCCATTATGTGTGAAGCTCTTTCCACACTCCATACATTTAAATGGTTTCTCCCCTGTGTGAGTCCATTGATGTTTTCTAAGGCTTCCATTCTGTGTGAAGCTCTTTCCGCAGTCCATACATTTAAATGGTTTCTCCCCTGTGTGTGTTCTATGATGTAAAGACAGATATACATGTGAACGAAAGCACTTTCCACATTCCATACATTCATATGGTTTCTTCCCTGTGTGAGTCCATTGATGTTGTCTAAGCGTTCTACTACAGTTGAAGCTATTTCCACACTCCATACATTTAAATAGTTTCTCTACTGTGTGAGTCCAAAGATGTTTTCTAAGGTTTCTATTATATGTGAAGTTCTTTCCACACTCCATACATTTAAATAATTTCTCCCCTGTGTGAGTCCATAGATGTTTTCTAAGGTTTCCATTATGTGTGAAGCTTTTTCCACAGACCATACATTTAAATGGTTTCTCCCCTGTGTGAGTTCGATGATGTAAAGTCAGATGTTCATCTGAACGAAAGCTCTTTCCACACTCCATACATTTAAATTGTTTCTCCCGTGTGTGAGTCCGTTGATGGTTGCTAAGGTTTCCATTTAATGTGAAGCTCTTTCCACATTCGATACATTTAAATGGTTTCTCCCCTTTGTGACTCCGTTGATGGTTGCTAAGGCTTGCCTTATATGTGAAGCTCTTTCCACACTCTACACATTTAAATTGTTTTTCTACTGCGTGACTCCTTCGATGTACCATAAGTTGTCTACTCATACTGAATATCAACCCACACTGCATACATTTGTAGGGTTTTTTACCCATGTGAGTTTGATGATGTCTATTAAGTGATGAACTCTGACTGAAGCTTTTTCCACACTCCATACATTTAAATGGTTTCTCCCCTGTGTGAGTCCGTAGATGTTTTCTAAGGTTTCCATTATGTGTGAAGCTCTTTCCGCAGTCCATACATTTAAATGGTTTCTCCCCTGAGTGAGTTCTATGATGTAAAGTCAGATGGTCCCTTGAACGAAACCTCTTTCCACATTCCATACATTCATATGGTTTCTTCCCTGTGTGAGTCCATTGATGGTTTTTAAGCACTCCACTAGTGTTGAAGCTCTTTCCACACTCCATACATTTAAATAGTTTCTCCCCTGTGTGAGTCCGTAGGTGTTTTGTAAGGTTTTTATTATGTGAAGCTCCTTCCACAGTCCATACATTTAAATGGTTTCTCCCCTGTGTGAGTCCATAGGTGTTTTCTAAAGTTTCCATTATGTGTGAAGCTCTTTCCACAGTCCATGCATTTAAATGGTTTCTCCCCTGTGTGAGTCTGTTGATGTTTGCTTAGCGTTATGCGATGACAGAAGCTCTTCCCACACTCATTTAAATGGTTTTTCTGTTGTGTGAATCCTTTGATGTACAATAAGTTGTCTACTCATGTGAGTTAGATGATGTAAAGTAAGAGATGAAGTGTGTCTGACGCTCTTTCCACACTCCATACCTTTAAACGGTTTCCCCACTCTGTGAGTTTATTGATGTGAGTTTATTAACTGTGCACATGGACTGAAGCACATTCCACATTCACCACATTTAAATGGTCTCTTCGTATTTCCAAATGAAATTACAGATGACACACTGTCTTCTCCATAACCTGCTTGGAAATGAGAGGAGAGGAAAACCCCTGTTAGTATTTCAAGGGAGAGAACAAAGACTGTAACACACATCAAATGCAATTAGCACCTTCTCTTATTTCAACCTATTGTACATTCCTCCCTGTCTTCCTTATGTCCCAAATTTTAAGCAAATGAGGTGAAACAATGCCAAATAATAGGAACGCATCATCAACCTTCCATAATACTAAATCATCATTAATAAAGTAGTTTGATCTAAGAATACAGTTGTGAGATTGCCTTTTTAAATAAGGACCTGCCTCACAGGAAAGGGAGCTGTTCTCCTTCCACGAACGTGCCCTCCATTTCTCCGAATCAGAGTTGCTAATGACATTTTTCATTCTCCATCTAATATTATTCCACCCCTGGGGCACATCTTAGCCCTTTGGACCTCTGGATATTTATTAATCACCCACACAGTCCCTTGGGCCCCAGGAGGTGCATAGCAGCCATATTGGGAGACCCAGGGTTCAGGTATTTCTAGGGACTGTAGCCTGGAACTAGTGAGAAGGCTTGGCGCTTGGAATAAACTGAAGGTGTGTTCAGGTAGGCTAATGTCCTTGGAGCTGGACCTCCATCTGTCAGCCTTGCAGTGCAGAGGGAGAGCTGGAGATGCAGGAAAAGGCTGTTGGAGCCTGGCTGCTGGAATCCCAGATTGAAACACTCACCCCAATTTTTATTTATTAGATTTAGAAACCACCCTTCTAAGTCTGAGTGTGAGGGGGAGGCCAGGAGTCCTGTCTCATGCTGTGTGTAGGAGCAAGAGACATGGATGGCGAGGGAGCTGCTGCAGTGACCTGCCACACCTGTGCAATGTTTGTCCTCCTGCCTGAGAATGTGCAGAATTACACCTGCAGCAGATGCAGGAAGAGAAGGAACAGCAAGCTGAGGTCCGCCTATCTGCCCTACGAGCTCCTGAGCAAGATGAGGGATTTCTTGAAAGAGAGCAGAGTGGATTGTCCTGGGACACCAACACAGGTGGAGTTGGCCCCAACCAGGAGGAAGATCGCTGGTTGCAGGAAACGAAAACCTGGAGGAATGTGGTACAGAGAAACGGGGCCGTTAGGAACCCTGATGTGTCACTCGAGCTGCAAAATCAATTCTGGGTCAGAGGAGCAAGATGCAGACCTCAGAACGCACCAAGGTGGCTGTGGAAGGGGCAGGGTATGGAGCAATTCCTACCACTCCCCAGCGGAGGAAGAGGGATGTGATGGTGGTACGTGACTTCCTACTAAGGGGGACAGAGGCAGCAGTGTGTGGAGGTAACAGGATCAGTGTTAGAAACTCATATCTATAAGCTAGGTGCCAAATGTCTTGTTAAATCAAGGTCACAGCTGCCCAAAATTGAATGTCTAGGAGTCATGAGAAGAGAAGACTCCCTGGAAAAGACCCTGATGTTGGGAAAGATTGGGGGCACAAGGAGAAGGGGACGACAGAGGACGAGATGGTTCGACAGTGTTCTCGAAGCTACCAGCATGAGTTTGACCAAATTGTGGCAGGCAGTGGAAGACAGGAGTGCCTGGCGTGCTCTGGTCCAGGGGGTCACGAAGAGTCGGACACAACTAAACAACAACAAGAGTTGCCATTTTGGGGTAGGATGGCTCTAAAGTCTTATTTATCAAATGATGGACAGATTGTGACTGATTCTCAGTTAAACACCTGGCTAGTTCAAAGGACAACCTTGTGCTAGGTTTAAGAACTTCTGAGAACTTAAAGAAGAAATGTCCTTTGATCCAGGGACAGTACACATAGATATTGGCCTATTGTGACTTCTTTTTCTTAATGGTGACACAGACCATTCATAATGAAAGATGATTCTTCACAACAAGTGTGAGAGGGCAGTGAAGACAAGAGACGCCAGTTCACTATCACATTGTTCACTGCTGCTGTTCACTGGATCAGTGATTTTGTTTAAATGAGCTACACATACTGTAGGGTCTCAGTGCATACTGAATGGACATACCCCTCAATCTTTCCTGCTCAGTGTTTTTCTTTTTTTGGTTTTGGGCAAGGAGATGAGCTCAGACTCATCATACCAGAGTCTCTCGTTTGTCAAATAAGTAAAGCATAAGTGTTATTGATGCTATTATGTTACTGTAAAAATCTTCAAAAAAGTTGCAGATGACACTAAACTGGGAGGGGTGGCTAATACCCCAGAGGACAGGATCACACTTCAAAACGACCTTGACAGATTAGAGAACTGGGCCAAAACAAACAAGATGAATTTTAACAGGGAGAAATGTAAAGTATTGCACTTGGGCAAAAAAATGAGAGGCACAAATACAAGATGGGGGACACCTGGCTTGAGAGCAGTACATGTGAAAAGGATCTAGGAGTCTTGGTTGACCACAAACTTGACATGAGCCAACAATGTGACGCGGCAGCTAAAAAAGCCAATGCAATTCTGGGCTGCATCAATAGGAGTATAGCATCTAGATCAAGGGAAGTAATAGTGCCACTGTATTCTGCTCTGGTCAGACCTCACCTGGAGTACTGTGTCCAGTTCTGGGCGCCACAGTTCAAGAAGGACACTGACAAACTGGAACGTGTCCAGAGGAGGGCAACCAAAATGGTCAAAGGCCTATGAGGAACGGCTAAGGGAGCTGGGCATGTTTAGCCTGGAGAAGAGGAGGTTAAGGGGTGATATGATAGCCATGTTCAAATATATAAAAGTATATCATATAGAGGAGGGAGAAAGGTTGTTTTCTGCTGCTCCAGAGAAGCGGACACGGAGCAATGGATCCAAACTACAAGAAAGAAGATTCCACCTAAACATTAGGAAGAACTTCCTGACAGTAAGAGCTGTTGGACAGTGGAATTTGCTGCCAAGGAGTGTGGTGGAGTCTCCTTCTTTGGAGGTCTTTAAGCAGAGGCTTGACAACCATATGTCAGGAGTGCTCTGATGGTGTTTCCTGCTTGGCAGGGGGTTGGACCCGATGGCCCTTGTGGTCTCTTCCAACTCTATGATTCTATGATTCATCCTGTGAAGAAGCAAAGACAACACAAACCTGGGAGCCTCTGTAGATTTTGCGTAGTTAATGTTAAGGTGGGGGCAGAGAGAATTTAGCGTGCTGCAAGGGAAGTGGGGGAACCGGAATCCTCTCCTGAAGACCCTCCCTCGCTCGACTTGAAGAAGACCCTACTCCTCTCTCCTGCGCTTAGAAACCCCATTTGCCCCCTTTCACCCCTAGCCCTGCGCGCCGAATCTTTTCCTAGCGCCCCAATCTCTCCATCCGGAGGGGCCTCGCAAGACCAGCAGGGAGGCGGGGAAAGAGGTGGGACAGGACGGGTCTCCTCGGTTCCCTCAACCCTTCCGTGGACTCCCTCACTCCGTCTCTACCCCTAAAAGGGACCCACCCGGGGCACCCCGGACAGGCCGCAAGTCCCGAGGGATTTCTGCAAGGCCGAAACCCGAATGAAGCCCTGTATATCAGCCAGCCCTGCTTGGGGCCGTGGGGGCGCTGCGGTCACCCGCCTCCTCCCCTCTTAACGGGCATTGCATTTCAATTCCCGCAAGGGCGCCCAAACGGGTGCGGAGCAGTTGAGCGTCTCTTGGCCGTCCCGGACCAGTAACACGGTGCAATGCAAACCCTGCAGCTGTTGAGTCCCCGCTTTGCAACCGGAATGCAAGGATCCAGGCCCCTTCGATGGGTTCTAGTAAAGGAGCGTTTTTGGAGAAAGCGTCTCTCATCACCCCCCCCCCGCACCCGCCAATTACCTCTTCCCTAACACGCCGCATCTTTACCTCTTTGTTCTCTCCTGGCCATCCGCATTCCCCTGCTCCGATTTCGTTTCCAGTAATATAATGGGGAGGTGGGAGTTGTCTACCGACGCCCCTCCTCCCCTTTCCAAAATCTTCCGCTTCTCCAGCGGCTGCTTTTGCCCCCTTGCCTGGGAACATCCGACACGTTTTCGAACGAGGGGGGGGGGGCCTCGCAATTTCAGTCGCAGAGCAGCCCCCGCCTGTGTAAGGAGGGGAACCGGAGGTGACGTCACGAGAAGTGTGACAATTTTTCCATTTCCTTAGCTGAACACACACGCGCGCGCGCGCCAAGGGCGCAGATGCACCCTGCAGGCGGATCCACAAGAAGGGGGTTTTCTCCTTACTGGGACCAGAGGCGCGACACGCACCCCGATCCTGTACATGCCCCAAGTCAGGCTTTGACCTCATGCACTTTCACCTGGAAACAAATTTCATGGCTTCCGTCTGAGAAAATGCACATCGAACTACAAAGCCTAGGACACACGACCAATGCAAGCTGCTGCGATTAGTTCTGCGTAAATACAGTTTTTTTGTTTTGTTTTGTCAAAGCATCAAACTACCTGCCCCCCCCCTCAGCTCTGGCAGCGGCGAAGACGAGATGAATAGAGGCCCGGGAAAAGAGAACCAATCAGAAGAGCCGGAACGAAGAGGCGAACCAATCAGGTGAGCCGGAAGCTGGGAAACCCATTGAAGAAGTTGCGGCTTGGTCATTCAGCTTTTTCTGTTGATCTGCCGCTTCCGTATTCCTCCGCCTGAGGCTCCCACTTCAGTCCGGTTGATGGTTCCGGATTAAAAGTTTTCTGGGGGAGTTGGGAGAAATTACCTGGAGAGGAGGAGAAAGAGGTGCAAGATATTTATGGGTGGTTTGCTTTTACTCTCCCTGAATCTACAAGTTGGGAGGAGGAGGGGGGGAAATGAGATTGCTTGCGGGAGGGGGATGAGGGAAGAGCAAGGAAGAGCCCCCCCCCCACTTTCCCTCTGGGAAGTAGTATTGGGGGTTGGGATCAAGGCAATCCAGATGAAAAAGTGGTGGTAGTGGGTCTCCTGCCCAGCAAAGTTTGCATTCCAAGATTCTCTCTGAAGTGCGGAGATGTGGGCAGCCCAGCTTATTATTCACTGCCTTGCTGCGCATGGGAGAGCGGGGCCAAAATTTAATGCCCCCCCCCCCGTTCCAAGGTGGAGGTCTGGTGGGTGCCATAGCAGTTTATGGTTTTTTGAAAGGGTACCTTGTCACAGTACTTTTTCCAGCTAAGGCTTAACTCCCTTTGCCAGTTTTTTCTGAAATTGCAGTAGTCCAGACTTTCTGTTTCTATCTGCAAGTGTTCCACAGACTTCTAATTTTGATTAATGAGTTGTTGAGCAGCCAATAAAAAAAATGTGATTAGTTGTTCATATCTCAGATTAGTATTATCTTCTTTAAAAATGGCTAACAATACCAAACGTCAGGTAGATAGGATGTTTAGCTTTCACCAAGTTTTATTTATTTATATGTATATATATATATATATATATATATATATATATATATATATATATGGGGACCCCTGATAATTAAGTCCAGTTGTGAACAACTCTGGGGTTGCAGCGCTCATCTCGCTTTACAGGCCAAGGGAGCTGGCGTTTGTCCGCTTCCGCAGACAGTTTTTCCGGGTCGTGTGGCCAGCGTGACTAAGCTGCTTCTGGCGAAACCAGAGCAGGAAACACTGTTTGCCTTCCCACTGGAGCAGTACCTATTTATCTACTTGCACTGTGTGCTTTTGAACTGCTAGGTTGGCAGGAGCAGGGACCGAACAACGGGAGCTCACCCAGTCGTGGGGATTCGAACTGCTAACCTTTCGTTCAGAAAGCCCAAGCGGCACAGTGGTTTAACCCACAGCACCACCCGCATTCCTAGATAGATAGATAGATAGATAATCTGTGTTTGGATTCTGCATTAGTATTTGTGATTAGAATTTCAACTGGAGTTTATGGACCTAGAGGCATATGCAGTAACTTTTGGGTTCGTTAGAAAATGTGTAGATAATTCCAGATGTTGCCTAGCTTTACTTAATATTTGTTCCCTGGTCAAAGGTATACTATCTGTGTAAATGTCTCCCACCCTAAATAAATCCGTTTTTCTCCATTCTCATTAGAGAGCTGCTCCCTGCTTTGAAGTGCATTGTGGCAACAGCGGAGTCCTGGAAGTGGCCCAGTTTCATCTCCTTGTCCTCTGTCTCTTCCAAGGGCAGCACAATGGCCTCAGAGGCACCATCGTTTGCACTGTCTCTTCTTAAAGGTGGAGTGGAAAGAGGAGTCAGGCAGCTTCCTCAGGTAGGGAAAGAGCAACGGGAGCAGGGAGGAGGGAAGAGGCACAGATGGGACCACCCAGCCTCCCTCTGTGTTGAGTGGGGATGATGGGGATCTAAGAGAAGCTCTGTCTTCTTCCTCTTCTTCTTCCAGGCCCTCTTGACCTTTGAGGAGGTGGCTGTGTTTTTCACGGAGGAGGAGTGGGCTCTGCTGGATCCAGGCCAAAGAGCTCTGCACACGGAAGTCATGGAGGAGAATTATGAGATGGTGGCCTCTCTAGGTAAGGGCAGATTTTTATTCCTCCTGGCTGTTAGACGTTGGAGGTGTGACTCTGCTGTTTGAGCCATTTATTCATGCTGTGTAGGAACAACATGCCTTGTACGAATAGCCTGCTGGATCAGCCCAGTGGCCCATTTCATCCAGTATCCTGTTGCCTGTGGGAAGCCAGCAGGATTTGAGCATAGAAGCATCTCTCCCTGCCTGTGGTTTCCAGAAACCGCTATTCTGCCTCTGACTGTGGAAGCAGAGCAGAGCCATCTTGCCTAGTGGCCGTTGGTGGACCTCTCCTCAATGAATTTAGAGCATTAGCAATTTCCCATTTGACTTCTTTGTAAACTCTCAGGCGGATGCCATGTGGACCTGGAGTTTTATCTGTTTTAATTTTGTCTATTTGACTGAGAACTTCATATCTCACCACCACTATCCATCTTATCCAGCACAGCCTCAAGGGAGATTAATAATAATAATAATAATAATAATAATAATAATCCCCTCTGTCCTGACTTGTTTCCCCAGCCACTCTGGGCAGCTTCCAACACATATAAAAACATAATACAGTGGTGCCTTGATTCTCAAACATAATCCGTTCCAGGAGTACCTTTGTCTCCCAAAACCATTCGAAAAGCAAGGCACAGCTTCCAATTGGCTGCAGGCGCTTCCTGTACTCAAGCGGAAGCTGCGTCGGACGTTTGTCTTCCGAAAAACGTTCACAGACTGGAACACTTACCATTTACCTGTGTAAAACATAAAACATGAAAAGGCTTCCCTATACAGGGCTGCCTTCAGGTTATAAGGGAAAATGCATTTTAAATTGCATTTTAACCTGTCTTTTAAATTGGTTTTTTCCCCTATTATGTTTTTACTGTAATTTTACTGGTGTTAGCCATTTATAGTTATTATTATTATTATTATTATTATTATTATTATTATTATTATTATTTATTTTATTTTATTTTATTTTATTACATATTTTGTTTTTTGTTTGTTTGCAAGAGCGGGGTGCCCTGGCCTCCTTGGCCTCCTGCAGAGCTCACATGTCTGCCTTACTCGGAGCTAAGAAGTTCATCCGCCGAGGCTCCCTCTGGCTGACGGAGTGACCTCCTTGGCTGGCTAGTTCCACATTTAAAGTCCTAGCTACTTCCTTCTAGTTATTGCCTTCTAACTTACTTTCCACAAGACTCCTGAAAAAAGGGCTAACTAGTTACTTGTTTATTTACTGGCATCGGAACACTTTTAAAAGTACCACTTACCCTGTAGTTCCTTACTTTACTTTAGTGTGGATCTGTGGCAAATTGTTGTCAGGAGCCGGAATCAGGAGGAGGTTAGCAATAAAACACCTGGTGTCGGTGAAGTTAACCCTTTATTCAAAGAATAAAGGCCTAGTGGTCACTCTTCCCAGTAGGTCTTGCCCCAATGAGGCAGGTGCGAGGGCTGATGTTCCCTGCCTTCCCACTGCTCTCTAAGGCCCTCCCCCTGGTTCCTTCCCCAGCAGCCTAAGGCTCCTTTGCCTTGTCTCTCTTTGCTCCACCCTCTTCATTCCTCTGTGTGTTCTGGGAGATCAGTGGGGAGAGGAGCTGGTCAAAGCAGGAGGGAGAGCTTCCCTGGCTTCTTATCCAGCTTGCCTCTACTCTTCTTCTTGACATCCGCCTCTGCTTCCACCTCCAAGGCTGGACTGCTCTCTGCCACAGCCTCCTCCTGCTCACCAAACCCTCCTCAGATTCTGACACCTCCTCTTCCTCCCAGTCTGCTCCCTCTTTTCCTTCTGACAGCCCCTCGTCATCCCACCACCAATCCCCTGGCTCTGAGCCTTCTTCCCCTTGAGGGTTCCCCCCACTCCATGCCTCTCACTATTTCTCTGCATCCAGACAGTCCATGATGATTGTCAAGGCTCTCTCTCTTTAGGTGATTGATAGGGGTCCTTCTTTTACTCTTTAGATAAAGATTTTTGCAAATTTGCTGTCCAAAGCAACATTTGTATATTCACACAAACACACCTTGTGACAGTGGGGACCATGCGGCCCCCTCCCACTCATTCTGTGCATCTTTATAGGATCTGAATACATACAGTGGAACCTCGAGTTACGTTGCCTTTGGACTACGTAAACTTGGGTTGTGCACTGCAGGAAACCCGGAACTACTGGAATGGGTTATTTCTGGGTTTCGTCGCTCACGCATTCACAGAAGCACTAAACTGCACCGCGTGTGTGAGCAGACGCAGCACTTTGAGTTGTGAAAGTTTTATGTTACGGACGGGCCTCCGGAACGGAACCTGTCCATAACACAAGGTACCATTGTAATCCGAATCTACGAGCTCAAAGGCGAGAGAATAGATTAATTTGAAATGGCCGGTTGTGCCCCAAAGTTATATAATATTATCTCTCTTCTTGACAGAATCAGACCTCAATTCCTGCTGGGAAGAAAGACAAGGTCCATTTCTCCAGGATCCCAAAGAAGGGGAGACATCAGCAGGTAGGTGCTTAGATGTGTCGTGGGGGCCTTTTTGCTCCAGGAAGTGAGGGAGGAGAAGCCGGATGCCAGCATGGTGTGGTGGTTAAGAGCGGTGGACTCGTAATCTGGTGAACTGGGTTCGCTTCCCCACTCCTCCACCTGCAGCTGCTGGGTGACCTTGGGCCAGTCACACTTCTCTGAAGTCTCTCAGCCTCACTCACCTCACAGAGTGTTTGTTGTGGGGGAGGAAGGGAAAGGAGATTGTTAGCCGCTTTGAGACTCCTTCAGGTAGTGATAAAGCAGGATATCAAATCCAAACTCTTCTTTTTTATGTCCTGCTTCTGGGCTTCTTATCAGCATTCCTTTGGCCCCTGTGGGGCTCTTGGAGTAAACAGGCCAGCGAGACAAATGTGGTTTTCAATGCCTTTCCATTGGGCCTTGGGACTCTCTCCTCCCCAGGCCCTGACCCTTGTTGACCAGTGCTGCTTCACATCCTCCTCGAGTCCTTTTTCCTGGCTGGGTTGTTTCCTTGAAATGGGGCTTCTTCCTTGCCTGGATGAGAGGAGAGAGAAGGGTGTGTAGAAAACGTGCTCCTGTCGAGAGCTGACATTTGCATCCATTGATACACCCACGTCTGCCTCTGGCCCCACAAAGTGTGAATATGCGGCTCTCAAGCTGTAAAAAGTTGCTCACGCCTGAGAGAGACCATTGGTCTGATCCAGCAGCCCTTTTCTAAAGAGTAGAGTCGGCCTCTAGGTTGAGGTTTCCTTTCCACATTGCTAGTATATGCCCCAAATTAAAATAGCCTCCGCGGTGCTTCTGAGCTGAGGTCAATGTACAGTGAGATCCTCTTCACAAGCGCCAGAGTAATTCTGCTGGGTTCACATGGCCCTCTGCTATCCCTCAGGAGGACAGTGAAGACTTTGCCTTTCCCTTATTTTGGGAAGGGAGCCATGGATGTAGTAGTGCTAGGAGTGTTTGGGTATCTTGTATTCTAAATTAACTGTCCTCTTTGAAACCATTTCCCAAACCAGACTTCATCACTTGTGAGGAAGGAGAAGATCCAGTTGGATGGGGCTCTGGGAAAGTGGAGAGATCAGCAGACACAGCTCTGCTTAGTGACAGCATGCAGAACAGGAAGGGACTTGTTGTCTTGAAACTGTGGCATATTCAGAAGCTAACTTTGGATTCAGTTGGGTAGGAAGAGAAGGAGGGGGACATACCGGAACTGTAAAATCAGAGAAGCAGAGAACTGGGCTTGATCCGTAATGTGAGTGTTTCCACCTTGCAATTTGAATGATCTTTCCTTTTTCTCCTTCCCTCAAAACAGGTAATTGGCAGAAGAGTGAGAATTATGGTGGGCCATCCGTGGTGTCATTAGAAAATGTGGAGAGTGAAACAGCGGACGAGATATTTGTAAATCAACAATCGCCCCCAAAGCATGTGGAAAACATGTTGAAAAATGGGGAAAGGACACTTTCCACTACTCAGGACATTGGTGTTCATGTACCCTTGAATTCACAGGAGCAATGCACAGGAAGCAGCAATGTGGAGTATGAACAGAGGTTCAGTCATAGTGGAAGGCTTAGTTTACATCAGAGAACCCAAACAGGGGAGAAAGCGTTTCAATGCATTGAGTGTGGAAAGAGCTTAAGTAGTGCTGGTAACCTTGTCAAGCATAAAAAAATCCATGCGGGGGAGAGACCCTTTAAATGCATGGAGTGTGGAAAGAGCTTCAGCCAGAGCGGAAACCTTATGGCACATCAAAGAATCCACACTGGGGAGAAACCATATAAATGTATGCTGTGTGGAAGGAGTTTCAGTCTCAATCACCATCTTACTTTACATCTAAGAACCCACACTGGGGAGAGACCTTACAAATGTATGGAGTGTGGAAAGAGCTATTGCCAGAGTGGACACCTTGCTGCACATAAAATAATGCACACATGGGCAAAACAGTTTAAATGCATGGAGTGCGACAAGAGTTTTCTCAGAAAAATTGACCTTACTGTGCATCACAGAACCCACACAGGAGTGAAACCTTACAAATGTATGGAGTGTGGAAAGAGCTTTTGCCAGAGTGGACACCTTGCTGCACATGAAAGAATGCACACGTGGGCAGAACAGTTTAAATGCATGGAGTGCGGCAAGGGTTTTGTCAGAAAATTTGACCTTACTGTGCATCATAGAACCCACACAGGAGTGAAACCTTACAAATGTATGGAGTGTGGAAAGAGCTTTTCCCAGAGAGGACACCTTGCTTCACATCGAAGAATCCATACAGGGGAGAAACCCTTTAAATGTTTGGAGTGTGGAAAGAGCTTTCACAGGAACTGTGACCTTACTGCACATCGGAGAACCCACACAGGAGTGAAACCTTACAAATGTATGGAGTGTGGAAAGAGCTTTAGCCAGAGTGGAAACCTTAATGCACATCAAAGAACCCACACAGAAAAACCCACCCTTTAAATGTTTGGAGTGTGGAAACAGCTTTAGTCACAATTACCACCTTACTTTAAATAAAAGAACCGACGCCAAGGAGAAACCGTATCAATGTACAGCGTGTGGAGAAAGCTTTGGAGGGAGTGATGGCCTGACTGTGCATCTGGGAACCCACGCCATGGGTAAACCCTCTATAAGTGAATGTGAAAAAAGCTGCAGTAGGAGCAGCAAATGTATTTCATGTAAGGGAATTATTTGCTGTTTCTCCCCCCCTTTAAACTGAGGGTTAATTGGATACTGTTGGAGCTCCTTGGCCTGGGGTGGGAGCTCCAAGTTTGAATCCAAAGGAAGTCAAATTGGGTAGGAGAGGCAGGCGGTTTGATGCTCACCACCCAGCCAAGGCACGTGGCCCCGATCCACAGGTCGTTCGCCTCCTTCATCAAATTCTTTCGGTCTGGGGACCTGACCTGATTGGAGTGATTTGCCTAAAATCTTTTGTGTGTTGATGCCTGAAAAATTTGGGGCTCATTTTAGACCAAGTCCCTTAACCTGAGTTCCTTCGCTGGGTTCCCCCGTCAGAGTGAAAAGTAAAATGGAAGGCAACCAAAATCCGAAGCAAATTGGACCATTAAGCCTTTGATTGTTTATTTGTCATGACAAATATTCAGCCTCTATAAAAGCAAAGGAAGGAGAACCTTGTGACAAAGGGTGTCCTGCCTTTTAAAGGTTTACAGTTCCTGCGAAACAGCAAGAAATCCCACCGCACAAACGTCAGTGATAGGTAGGTAAACGTCAAAGAGGCATCACGGAATTAGGAGGGGTTGCAATATGTCAATCAGAACATTTGGGAATGGCGGGTCTTACACCTTTCCAGGCGGAATTTACACGAAGCATTGTTATTGCAAGCTGCATTGGGATGGCAACAAGAGCAACCCATGTTCTATTCATGGGACGGACGCATGCAGACATTTGCCATTACATCTCATCCATCGCCTCCATCCAGATCCATTCAGTGGGAGAAACCTTGTCCTGGGAGTCTTCTCCCTGCATGACTCTGCACTTCGGGGATTATGATGGGAGAGAGACTTCCCACAACGCAGGAGTGTCCACATGATTCTAGAAGTCTGTTACAAAGAATAAATAATTTACGAACCCTTTTACATCGTGTTTCCTTCATTTATATACAATTTCCCTAGTAAAACGAGCTTAATCATTTGTTTCCGCTTTATATTGGAAGTATCATCTCTAACAAAATGCATTTCAATAGGGACAAATGTAAGGTTTTGCACAAATATAGGATGGGGGGCATCTGGCTTTCTGGCAGTACATGTGAAAAGGGTTTGGGCGTCTTGGTGGACCACGGTCTTAACATGAATCAACACTGTGATGCAGCAGCAGAAAAAGAGAATGATATTCTAGGCTGCATCAACAGAAGTCTAGTGTCCAGATCAGGGGAGCCGACTTGGTTCCAGTGCACACAACATGACGTCATGTCACACACACACGGTCTTGGAACCTGACTTCCAGTAGCACCAGGTTCCAAGGTCTTGCAAGCCCTCAGACAGCATCTCCGAGGTTTCATGAGACCAAGGCAGTCCAAGGGTGTTTTGACCTTGAAACACAATGAGCTTATTCCAGCTGCATCTCTGTCCCCAGGGAAACCTTGGAACCTTTCCAGGCACACTAGAAAAAAACTAGAATATTTTGGTAAGCTTCTATGGCTTCTGCACCTCAGAAACGCCATTATACCTTACAGATATATCATCCAGACCATCATTTAGTCTGGGAACCTTGGATTTATACAGTGGTACCTCGGGTTATATACGCTTCAGGTTACAGACTCTGCTAACACAGAAATAGTACCTCGGGTTAAGAACTTTGCTTCAGGATGAGAACAGAAATTGTGCGGCAGCCGAAGGCCCCATTAGCTAAAGTGGTGCTTCTTAACCTAAAGGTTAAGAACAGTTTCAGGTTAAGAATGGACCTCCAGAACGAATTAAGTACTTAACCCGAGGTACCACTGTATAGTGAATATATGAGACTGAAACTGCAGTCAGTGTCAACAGTAGTGATCCGGGGGGTCTGGCTCACAGTAAGGCAGTTTCCAATGTTTGGAGCTGGTGGTGAGGAATTTATCACAATTTACTGCAAAAGCTTCTCCTCTTCCCTACTTCTCCTCCCCCGTTTTGTTCCTTCCTAAGGGTCTCTGCCACGGACCCTGATCAGTCTGCGCCCCCCACAAACTCTGCAGGGCTTAGTTCTCAGTAGAACTGCAAAGGGCCACCGGATGTGCAGCCTCTGCAACAGCCTCATAGGGGCAAGACCTACCCAGAAGAGTTGCAGTGCCCCTTAGTCCTGGTTCCCAGGACCAGACCTTGTTTCTGCTATTAAAGAGTTGTCAACAACAAGAGCAGCAGCAACAACAGCTACTACCGCTACTTATTATTGCTGTTTTAACGTATTCCATATTGTTTGTGGAATGATGCAGGCAAATGAAGCTGTTCCTGTATTACCAGCAATTAAGGGGTAACAACGTTCAGATTTTGGGGCATTGAATTACAAGAGGATCTGTCCTGGAGTGTCAACACAAGGGGGCTTGTGAAGAAGGCGCAGCAGAGACTGTGCTTTTTGAGAATTCTAAGGAAAAACCATCTTCCGCAGAAACTGCTGCTTGCCTTCTATCACTGCCATTGAGAGCGTGCTCACTTATGGCTTATGTGTGTGGTACGGAAGCTGTACTACCCAGGACAGGAGGGGGTTGTGCAGAGTTGTTAAGGCAGCAGAGAGCATTGTTGGCTGCCCACTCTCCACCTTAGAGCAGATTTATGCCACAAGGTGCCATAGGAAGGCACTGGACATAGTAAAAGATCCATCACATCCTGGTCACTGTCTCTTCGAGCTCCTGCCGTCGGGACGGAGATACAGGACGATGAAGACAAGAACGAGCCGTCTTAAGAACAGCTTCTTCTCCAGAGCGATCTCGGCCCTGAATGGGAAGCCTGGACTTTGAAAGTCATCTAATCTTCCTTGCTGTACTATACTGTATTGTTTTAATTAGTGTTTTTATGGAGCAGTCAAGTAATTTCGTTGTCCCCGAGAAATCGTAGGTTGGCTCTGATTGGCTGTGACCCCTTTCTCCTCCCTTCTCTCCCCCTCCTCAGGTTGCAAGGTTGGAGACACACAGAGAGTCTCTTTAGGATAACTTTTCCCTCTAAGATGGAGGTGTACCTGCATTTGATGCTGCGTTGAAGGACACAGGTTTCCTGCAAGTAAGCAACATTTCTATGCTTGCAGGAACTCTGGACTAGTCGTTTGAGAAAAGGGATGAGGCAGCATAGTGCCCAGAAAGGATTCCTAATCTAAACTAAACAGTCTATTCCCCACGGTAAAGGTAAAGGGACCCCTGACCATTAGGGGCCGACTCTGGGGTTGCGGCACTCATCTTGCTTTATTAGCCGAGGGAGCCGGCATACAGCTTCCGGGTCATGTGGCCAGCATGACTAAGCCGCTTCTGGCGAACCAGAGCAGCGCACGGAAATGCCGTTTACCTTCCCGCCAGAGCGGTACCTATTTATCTACTTGCACTTTGACGTGCTTTCGAACTCCTAGGTTGGCAGGAGCTGGGACCGAGCAGTGGGAGCTCAGCCCGTTGCGGGGATTCGAACCGCCGACCTTCTGATCGGCAAGTCCTAGGCTCTGTGGTTTAACCCACAGCGCCACTTGCGTCCCTTATTCCCCATTGTAGAGCTGTGCAAATGGTTCTATTTTTCCAGAGGAGTCTCGAGGATTTGCATGGAAGTTCCCGTTATTACTGCGCAAACGCACGTGGGTAGCAGGGACCGTGATTCTATGAAATCACTGATGTTACAACGCCTGCCTCATTCTTGACTAGGTGAAGAGTGGAGAAGTTCTCCCCACATAAATTGCAATCCCGATCCTTAAGTTGGTTTTGCCAACGCCTCCTTCTTCCAGCTGTTCTGCTTGGTTCTTTTCCAGGGCTCCCACTCATTTCGTGTCCCCTGCTGCCTCCCTGGAGAGACACTGGCCTTTTGATGCTTTTTAAAACGGCGCAAAATACTTTTTTATTATGGCGTCACCTCCGGTTCCCATCTGAACACAGGAAGGCACTGCTCTAAAGACCCTAATAGGCAACTAGGGCCTGGGGGCCGGATCCAGCCCAATCACCTTCTAAATCCGGCCCGCTGATGGTCCAGGAATCAGCATGTTTTTACATGAGTAGAATGTGTCTTTTTATTTAAAATGCATCTCTGGGTTATTTGTGGGGCATAGGAATTCATTCATATATCCCCCCCCCAAAATATAGTCTGGCCCCCCACAAGGTCTGAGGGACAGTGGACCGGCCCCCTGCTGAAAAAGCTTGCTGACCCCTGTTAGGGTCTTCAGAGCAGCGCCTTCCTCTGTTGGATGGCAGCCGAAGAATCCCAGACAGGTGACCACCCAATTTCTTCTTGAAAATCTCCCTTCAAGGAGAGTCCACCACCTGAGAGAGTCCAATCCACTGCCAAAGAGGAAAGTTATTTTCCCTGACGCTCTTAGGCTTCAGTGAGCCAACCAGCTACAAATCCGTCTCTTATTCATGCCCTTCTTAAATCTCAGCTCATCTGTAAGCTCAATGCAAACCTGAATCTCTCAGCAAGAGAAGACCCTGTTTGGCAATACCTATGGCCCATCTCTCCTCTGAAGAGGAGACCTTTATAATATGCATCCAAAACAATTGCTTATCTTTACAATTTCCCAGAGGGAAATTTCTTTTAGATCAAAGGAAATCTGTTTTCTAGGGAAACCTCTATAGGTGAAAAGGCAATATAGGTAAAAAAGCCATAGTTCTTTCTTAAATTAACAAATGATCATACGTTAATAGGAATAAAAATGTGTACCCCACCACCAAGACCATTCCATTATAACTATCCAACCTCCCAAAGTTTCAACACTTCTTGTGATGGTTTAACCCCTTTCCGTTTTAACAATACAAATTATGCAAACACCCTAAGAGCAATAGTTCTAAGATGAAGGCTATACATCCAGCTGTTTTGATCTAGACAACCTTTACGTTGATATTTGATGTGCTTGTGAGCAGACTAAATGTCGGTACTCAAAAGAGTTTAATTGACAGGACAAACTGAAGAGCTGTTCAAGATTGTGAAGCTTTATTTAGAATAAAAGGTAGGAGGCCAAAAAAAGGCCCTCCCCCAAATACACAAACACTCCAGGTTGAACAGATTTCAAAATCAAGCAGAGTGCTTGTAGCTCTATACCTGGATTAAGCATAGCCTATTCACAAGTAATGTGGGACGCGGGAGGCGCTATAAGTTAAACCACAGAGCTCCTTTCCTAGGACCCATCAAGGGGGCCCGGATCCATGCAATCCGGCTGCAAAGTGGGGACCCAACACCTGCAGGGTTTGCATTGCACCGTCTCCTTTGAAGTGCGCGCTCTCACACACAAATTGTTACTGGTCCGGGACGGGCAAAGAGACGCTTAACTGCTCCGCACCCCTTTGGGCACCTTTGCGGGAATTGAAATGCATTGCCTGTCAAGGGGGGGGGTGACCACAGCGCCCCTGCCCCAAAGTAGGGCTGGCTGATAAACGGTAGAGACAGAGCGAGGGAGTCCATGGAAGGGTTAAGGGAAGCAAAAGAGTCCTGGACAGAGACGTGTCCCCTCTGTCTCTAGCCCAGGGGAGATCATGGAGAGATCAGCTGGAGCTGATCTCTCTTCGTGCAATGTCTCTTCGTGGTTTCAGAGGGATGGAGTCTGTTTCAGGAGTCTGCAGATTGGACCTGGGACCTTCTGCGTGCAAGAAGATGCTCTGCCCCTGAGCTGCAACCCCTTCATTTATTTTAAATAATATTTTTATTGATTTTCACAGTAACCAACACCACAAAGAGTAAATATCAAAGTAGAAAATTTAACAACAACAACAAAACCCTGTTTACATATTCAATATCAAATCCAAGTGTGGGATTACTTGAACCCCCTGACTTGCCTCCACTCCTGGTTCCATTGTTACCCTTATTAATATATGCACGTCCATATAATCTTGTTTCTCTATTTGTTTCCAATTTTATCTGCTTTCGTAACATTACACATGTTTCTAAAACCCTGCTAATGTATTTAATAGATTTGGTTGGCATGCGTATTTATTCATGAAATTGGTCTATAATTTTTTACCTCTTGCAAGTCTGTCCTTTGCTTTGGAATTCAAGTGATGATGGCCTTTTTCCAAGTATTTGGTAATCTGTCCTGCATTTAGAATTTCATTCATCACATTTTGTAATGGTTGAATTAAATAATTTTGCAATCTTTTATTATATTTCACTGTTAGCCCATTTGGGCCGGGTGACTTTCCCACCAACTGCCAAACTATTTGGCCTTATCTACACTTATATACCTCAAGTAGATTATATAATAATAGAAAGAAATGGATATGTGAGAAGACAGAATGACTCAAAAGGAGTCTGAATATCAGTCTTTTACCTAGACTGTTTGGTATAAATCAAAGTAAATCAGCCGAAGACTTTCAGTTCCAATTAATTCAGAAGAATATGAAGAATATGAATAAGAAAAAACCAAGCACTTAGTTCCGTTTGTTAATTTCCAGTGTCCAACAGAGATAAATTTTGATAGTTCAATGAACTTCCATATAAATCCAAAATGTTCTTGCCGGAATGAAGTTATAATCCACTTTGTTTGTGTTCTTCCAACTTGACACAGTATTTAATCTTCTTCTAAATCAGTCTTCTTTAAGTATAAAATGTTAATGACTTCCCATATTGTTAGTAAAGACAGTTGTTGTTTAGTTGGATCCGACTCTTTGTGACCCCATGGACCAGAGCATGCCATGCACTCCTGTCTTCCACTGCCTCCCACAGTTTGGTCAAACTCATGCTGGTAGCTTCAAGAACACTGTCCTACCATCTTGTCCTCTGTCGTCCCCTTCTCCTTGTGCCCTCAATCTTTCCCAACATCAAGGTCTTTTCCAGGGAGTCTTCTCTTCTCATGAGGGGGCCAAAGTACTGGAGCCTCAGCTTCACGATCTGTCCTTCCAGTGAGCACTCAGGGCTACCAATGTATCGTTGGTATTTAAAGTACAGTGGTGCCTCGCAAGACGAAAATAATCCGTTCCGTGAGTCTCTTCGTCTAGCGGTTTTTTCGTCTTGCGAAGCAACCCTATTAGCGGATTAGCGCTATTAGCTATTCCCCCGGAAAAGGCACAAATACCAAACAGGTTCTGAATTAAAAGTTTATTTTAAAAGAATAACTGAAAACATGTTGAAACCAACAGGCACTTTCTTATGAAACTTACAAGCAAGAAAATAAAAACGTTGCATAGTTAACTAACTGTTACATACCTACAAAGAACCACAGATAAGATAGTGAGAGTCCTTTCAAGCTGTTGCGTAATGGAGCTGTTGGAGGATTTCCATTTCAAAAGGACGTAACGACGGCTATCGATGGAAGTTACAGCCGGGCATCTTTGCAAATTGCAACGCAATGGCACAGAGCGCAAAGAGTCAGCAATTCCCTTGATCTTTTATCCACAATTCTGACTCTGCGTCGTAACTTTTGGCCAATCCCGAGTCTTAATTGGATTAGCCCACTCTTTTGCAGCTGGGTCAGTTTTAGGTTTGAACCCTTAATCAAAGGATCTTCCTCCCACCTGTGGAAATTAACCAGATCCCCAATTCTCAGCAATTTGAAAACAAACAACCTCCGGGAAGAAGGCAGAGATTCGCACCACCAGCCCAGGTGTGAACCCTTCCATTAATCAAGGACCCCTTTCCTCCCATAAACCTCTCATGGCAAGGAGCCAAAGAGTCTGGGTTTTAAAGATACACAGTTCCCTTTCCCAGGGTCCTCTCGGCTTGACAAAGTACCCACAAGGCCACATTCTTTTACTTGACCAAGGAGTGATTTTTCTAAATATGCCTACATTACTACAAAAGGCTTAGCGGCTAAAAGGCTATTAGCGGCTTAGCGGCTTAGAAAAAAAACAGGGGGGGGGGAGCGAAAAAAATCGCAAGACTTGCAAGACGTTTTCGTCTTGCGAAGCAAGCCCATAGGGAAATTTGTCTTGCGAAGCAACTCAAAAGCGGAAAACCCTTTCGTCTAGCGGGTTTTCGTCTTGCGAGGCATTCGTCTTGCGGGGCACCACTGTAAAGGTAAAAAAAAGCAGAGACATCACCTTGCCAACAAAGGTCCGTATAGTTAAAGCCATGGTTTTCCCAGTAGTGATGTATGGAAGTGAGAGCTGGACCATAAAGAAAGCTGATCGCCGAAGAATTGATGCTTTTGAATTATGGTGCTGGAGGAGACTCTTGAGAGTCCCATGGACTGCAAGAAGATCAAACCTCTCCATTCTGAAGGAAATCAGGCCTGAGTGTTCACTCAGCTGCACGAATGTTATTGGCCCAGAGATGGAAAGAAAATAAAGTCCCGACCAGAGAAGAATGGCAGATGAAGTTGATGGATTATGCCCAAATGGCAAAAATGACCAGAAGAATTTGAAATCAGGAACAGTAAACTTTAATAAGGACTGGGGGAAATTTACAAACTATATTAAAAACCATTGTAAAAAGCTAAAATTGTTTCTAGGATTGGAATAAACTTGTAGTTTAATGGTGAACTTTGGGCATAATAGAGATGTAAAAGATTTGGATTATTATAAAAGATGCAGGAAGAAATGATTTACAATAGGACCAACAAAGGGGAGGAGGGAAGATATCTGATATGAAAAACCATACATACACACACACACACACACACACACACACACACTTTCCACACCGTTCAATATACTGGTTTTTCCATTGTGTGAGTTTGTTGATGTATCTAACGATATCATTGCAACTATAGGTCTTTTCACACTCAATACATTGGAATGGTCTTCACCTTGTATGAGTCTGTTGATGCGATGAAAGCTTATCTTTACGACTGAAGGTCTTTCCACACTCCATACATTTAAATGGTTTCTCCCCTGTGTGAGTTCGTTGGTGTAATCTAAGGGTATTGCTTCTTCTGAAGGTCTTTCCACATTCTATACATTTATATGGTTTTTCTCCTGTGTGGATTCGATGGTGAATATTAAGTGCTGAACCCGTACTGAAACTCCTTCCACACTCCATACATTTATATGGTTTTTCTCCTGTGTGGATTCGATGGTGAATATTAAGTGCTGAACCCGTACTGAAAGTCTTTCCACACTCTATACTTTTATATGGTTTTTCTCCTGAATGTGTTTGATGATGCAAAGCAAGTTGTGAGCCGCGACTGAAACTCCTTCCACACTCCATACATTTATATGATTTTTCTCCTATATGAATTCGTTTATGTTTTTCAAGGCCTCTCTTTTCATGGAAACACTTTCCACACTCCATGCATTTATATGGTCTTTCCCCTGTGTGTGTTCGTTGATGTATTTTAAGGTATGCATTCTGGGTATAGCTGTTTCCACACACAATACATTTAAACAGCTTTTCTCCTGTGTGAGTCTGTTGATGTCTTCTTAATTTTTGCCTATCAGTGAAGCTCTTTCCACACTGTATACATTCAAATGGTTTTTCTCCTGTGTGAATTCGTTGGTGTCTTCTAAGGGCATTACTCAGACCAAAGCTCTTTCCACACTCTATACATTTAAATGGCTTTTCTCCTGTGTGAGTTACTCGATGACTTCGAAGGCTACTGCTTTGAATGAAGCTCTTTCCACACTCCATACATTTATATGGTCTTCCCCCTCTGTGAGTTACCACATGTATTCTGAGGTATCCCCTATTAGTGAAGTTCTTTCCACACTCCATACATTTAAATGGCTTTTCTCCTGTGTGAGTTTGTTGGTGTCTTTGAAGGACACCCTTTTGCCTGAAGCTATTTCCACACTCCAAACACTGATAGGGTTTCTCCCCTGTGTGAGTTCGTTGATGACTTTTAAGGGCACTCTTTTGCCTGAAGCTGTTTCCACACTCCAAACATTGATAGGGTTTCTCCCCTGTGTGAGTTCGTTGATGACTTTGAAGGGCACCCTTTTGCCTGAAGCTGTCTCCACACTCCAAGCATTGATAGGGTTTCTCCCCTGTGTGAGTTCGTTGATGACTTTGAAGGGTACCCTTTTTACGGAAGCTGTTTCCACACTCCAAACATTTATAGGGTTTCTCCCCTGTGTGAGTGCGTTGATGACTTCGAAGGGCACCTTTTTGCCTGAAGCTGTTTCCACACTCCAAACATTTATAGGGTTTCTCCCCTGTGTGAGTTCGTTGATGTACCTTTAGGTTTCTACTATCATTGAAGCTCTTTCCACACTCCATGCATTTAAATGGTTTTCCCCCTTTGTGAGTTCGTTTGTGAATTCTAAGCTTTTCTCTATGACTTAAGCTCTCCATACATTCATATCGTTTCCCCCTTGTGTGAGTTTGTAGATGATTTCTAAGTTTTCCAGTATCCATAAAGCTCCTTGCACATTCCAACAGTTTTGTTGTTATTACCGGTGAAATTACAGGTGGTTCTGCAGAGTTCTGTCCGTCATCTCCACCTGCTTCAGAGCAAGGAGAAAGAAATTCCTATTAGGGTTTCAAGGATAAGGAGGAAGGAACTTAAATTACACAAAGCTCAGTCAGCAATTTCTCTTACTGAAACATCTCCTAGATTCTCCCTTATCAGCTTTACCTTACAATCTAAATTGGTAAGTTACATGCCATTATTATCTCGTTACTAATTTGCTGCATCCCCTTCATGGATTGCCGTGATGAAGGGGCTTGAATAACTCAGAGTAGCTATGAGCTATGCCGTGAAGGGCAACCCAAGATGGACAGGTCATAGTGGAGAGTTTTGACCAAACGTGATCCACCTCAGTTGCAGATATGCCTGGAAGCGAAAGGAAAGTCCAATGCTGTAAAGAAAAAGATTGCATAGGAACCTGGAATGTAAGAACCATGAACCTGGGTAAGTTGGAGGTGGTCAAAAATGAGATGGCGAGAATAAATATTGACATCCTGGTCATCAGTGAACTAAAATGGACGGGAATGGCCGAATTCAGTTCGGATGACCATCATTATCTACTACTGTGGGCAAGAATCCCGTAAAAGAAATGGAGTGGCCCTCATAGTCAACAAAAGAGTGGGAGAGCTGTACTGGGATGCAATCTCAAAAATGATAGAATGATCTCGATATGAATCCAAAGCAGACCTTTTAACATCACAGTAATCCAAGTTTATGCACCAACTACTGGTGCTGAAGAAACTGGAATTGACCAATTCTATGAAGACTTACAACACCTTCTAGAAATGACACCAAAGAAGGATGTTCTTCTCATTATAGGGGATTGGAATGCTAAAGTAGGGAATCAAGAGATAAAAGGAACAACTGGCAAGTTTGGCCTTGGAGTTCCAAACAAAGCAGGGCAAAGGCTAATAGAGTTCTGCCAAGAGAACAAGCTGGTCATCACAAACGACTCTACACATCGACATCACCAGATGAGCAGCATCAAAATCAGATTGATTATATTCTCTGCAGCCAAAGATGGAGAAGCTCTATACAGTCAGCAAAAACAAGACCTGGTGCTGACTGTGGCTCAGATCATCAGCTTCTTATAGCAAAATTCAAGCTTAAACTGAAGAAAGTAGAAAAAACCACTGGGCCGGTAAGATACAATCTAAGTCAAATCCCTTATGAATATACAGTGGAAGTGAGGAACAGGTTTAAGGATTTAGATTTGGTGGACAGAGTGCCTGAAGAACTATGGATGGAGGCTCGTAACATTATACAGGAGGCAGCAACGAAAACCATCCCAATGAAAAGGAAATGCAAGAAAGCAAAGTGGCTGTCCAACGAGGCCTTACAAATAGCGGGGGAAAGAAGGCAAGCAAAATGCGAGGGACATAGTGAAAGATACAGGAAATTGAATGCAGATTTCCAAAGAATAGCAAGGGGAGACAAGAAGGCCTTCTTAAACGAGCAATGCAAAGAAATAGAGGAAAACAACAGAATGGGAAAAACCAGAGATCTGTTCAAGAAAATTGGAAATATGAAAGGAACATTTCGTACAAAGATTACCATAATAAAGGACAAAAGTGGTAAGGACCTAACAGAAGCAGAAGACATCAAGAAGAGGTGGCAAGAATACACAGAGGAATTATACCAGAAAGATATGGATGGCGCGTACACCTCAGGTAGTGTGGTTGCTGACCTTGAGCCAGACATCCTGGAGAGTGAAGTCAAATGGGCCTTAGAAAGCACTGCTAATAACAAGGCCAGTGGAAGTGATGATATTCCAGCTGAACTATTTAAAATTTTAAAAGATGATCCTGTTAAGGTGCTACACAAAATATGCCAACAAATTTTGAAAACTCAGCGGTGGCCAGAGGATTGGAGAAGATCAGTGTACACCCCAATCCCAAGGAAGGGCAGTGCCAAAGAATGCTCCAACTACTGCACAATTGCACTCATTTCACATGCTAGCAAAGTTATGCTTAAAATTCTACAAGGCAGGCTTAAGAAGTATGTGGACCGGGAACTCCCAGAAGTGCAAGCGGGATTTCGAAGGGGCAGAGGAACCAGAGACCAAATTGCGAACATGCGCTGGATTATGGAGAAAGCTAGAGAGTTCCAGAAAGACATCTACTTCTGCTTCATTTACTATGCAAAAGCCTTTGACTGTGTCGACTACAGCAAATTATGGCAAGTTCTTAAAGAAATGAGAGTGCCTGATCACCTCATCTGTCTCCTGAGAGCTACAGTTAGAACTGGATATGGAACAACTGATTGGTTGAAAATTGGGAAAGGAGTACGACAAGGCTGTATATTGTCTCCCTGCTTATTTAACTTATATGCAGAATTCATCATGCAAAAGGCTGGGCTGGATGAATCCCAAGCCGGAATTAAGATTGCCGGAAGAAATATCAACAATCTCAGATATGCAGATGACACAACCTTGATGGCAGAAAGTGAGGAGGAATTAAAGAACCTTTTAATGAGGGTGAAAGAGGAGAGCGCAAAATATGGTCTGAAGCTCAACATCAAAAAAAACGAAGACCATGGCCACTGGGCCCATCATCTCCTGGCAAATAGAAGTGGAAGAAATGGAGAAAGTGAGAGATTTTACTTTCTTGGGCTCTATGATCACTGCAGATGGTGACAGCAGCCACAAAATTAAAAGACACCTGCTTCTTCGGAGAAAAGCAATGACAAACCCAGGCAACATCTTTAAAAGCAGAGACTGTTATGATATAGAAGCAATGCGGCCGCGAGCAGCTGCTAGCATGAAAGCAAAACATAATGGGAATGTTGGGACTATTCCGTGGGAAACAGAAGGACAGTCTATTCACAGTGCTGAGCACCGGATTTAGCTCAGAGTGTAACATGAGCTGTACAGGAAGTACAGGAGGTGGGGTTTGTGTCTCTCTGCTGTTGGAGTTTGAAGAGAGCAGACATGTTTTTCTGTAATGCTGCAAAGACAGAAATAAAGGCATGCAAATACATTTCTGTCTATCTCTTTCCCCTGCCTGGGGAGGGCAGGGAAGAGTGGTGTGTTCTTGTCACGCTTGAGGAGGATCGCCGATCGCGACCTCGCCTGTGTCCTGCTCGGGAATGCAGACGGGGAGGTCACCAGGAGATCAAGCCGGGTGCCTGGAGAGTGGCCAGTTTCTCCTGATAAAGGCTTGATTTCCTAACACCTTGCCAACAAAGGTCTGTATAGTTAAAGCCATGGTTTTCCCAGTAGTGATGTATGGAAGTGAGAGCTGGACCATAAAGAAGGCTGATCGCCGAAGAATTGATGCCTTTGAATTCTGGTGCTGGAGGAGACTCTTGAGAGTCCCATGGACTGCAAGAAGATCAAACCTATTCATTCTGAAGGAAATCAGCCCGGAGTGCTCACTGGAAGGACAGATCGTGAAGCTGAGGCTCCAATACTTTGGCCACCTCATGAGGAGAGAAGACTCCCTGGAAAAGACCCTGCCGTTGGGAAAAATTGAGGGCACAAGAAGAAGGGGACGACAGAGGACGAGATGGTTGGAGAATGTTCTTGAAGCTATCAGCATGAGTCTGACCAAACAGTGGGAGGCAGTGGAAGACAGGAGTGCCTGGCGTGCTCTGGTCCATGGGGTCAGGAAGAGTCAGACACGACTAAACGACTAAACAACTACTACTACAACAACAACAACAAACCACTTTGCAGTTTTCTTTAAAAAAATATATTAAATAAATAAAATATAAATATAAATAAAACAACACAAGCCAAAACACAATCCATCCTGTAGATTTAAGTATCTGTCCACAGTCACCTACTTGTTACCGGAGGCCCTGAATCCACATTCCTTTGTAAGAAAATATGAAATAAAGTCAAACCATTTTTGCTGGCAACTCCCCCAAAAAACCACCAGTGTGTGTGTGTGGGGGGGGGGGTGTGTGTGACAAGAAATTTGCCACACTGGGTACCACCCGGTATTCCTATGCTTCTGTATATAAAGTAAATAACTGAATATAATAACTTTCTAGAAAAAAACAATAGTGGTAGAAATGCTTGAAATATACATTATAAATAGTTACTGGATTTGTCACCATCAATGAATCATGCGGTACAAAAACCTTGCAAAACCTGAATTCCACTTTCTTCTTCCTGTTAGGAACCTCCTGCCTTTTCTCTCCTCTCCCACTTCTCCTATTGCCAGGGAGGTTCCCCACTTCCAACATCCATCCATCCATCCATCCATCCATCCATCCATCCATGTCCTCTTCTCCCCTCCCCTCGAACTCACCAGATCTCTCTGAGGGTCCTGGGAGAAAATACCCAGAAGTTGTGGGGAGGGATGCAGGAGACAGTCGGACCAGGTCAACCGTCCACCTTCCTCCTTCCATCCTTGATAGGATTGCAGGATCAGGCTCTTGAATCCTTCCTGAGGTGCTCAGAAGCCTAAAGAAGAAGCGGATTCCTGGGAGACAGAAGCAAATGGAGACTCAGAGCCCCTGGAGGGATTTTCCTTTCAGAGGGGAAGCCCCCTCCCCATCTGTGCTTCTCCCACCCGCAGCTTCCATGGTAGAAGAGGGGTACCTTCCTCCCGAACCCCACCTTGCAAGGAAAGTGGAGCCATGTCTGAAAGAGGATCTTCTTCACAACAGTATTAAAAACTTTCCTTTCCGGACCACCTTTTCTCCCTGCCACTCTCTGGCGTTGCAGGCTCCTTCCATTTTTCCTTCTGCTTCCCCCCTCAATTCCCCCCACCCCCAGGTTACAGGAAGGGCCTGCAGCTCAGGGGCAGAGCATCTTCTTGTAGGCAGAATGTCCCAGGTTCAATCCTCAAGGTAGGTCTGAAACAGACTCCATCCCTCTGGAACCCCAGAGAACCACTGCTGCCAATCCGGGTCCTGACCCAGGGGGTGTTTCTCAGCATCAGACCAAAGCTTCTCCTCTTCCCAGTTTTAAAGCCTTCCCTCCTTCACTTCCCCACAGACTCTGCCCCCCCCCCCCCGAAACTCCACAGTGGTTACTTCTCAGTAGAACTGCAAAGAGATGGGCTGCAGATTCCTCCGACCACATCTGCAGCCTCTGCAACTGCCTCATAGGGGGAAAAGAAGCACCCAAAAGAGTTGTTGCGCCCAATAGACCTGGCTCCCCGGACCAGGCCTTGTTTATGCTGCTAAAGACTTAACAACAATTTTAACTTCACGCATTGCGTGTCATTTTTTGCTGGCTGGCTCTCTGCCAAATTCTATGACTCCATGAATCCAGCTTCTAGGGAGGGAAACGGGGGTGGGGGGGTGGGAACAGGGCTCCCCCCCTCCCGCTTTATGGATGCCTCTTAAAGGAGGCTGCTGAGCGGGAAGCAATTGTCAAGGTAGCGCCGCAGCCTCTCCGGCGCTGAAGACGCACACAGTCCCCCCCCCAAAAAACCGTGTCTCTGCCCCCTGCCAATGCTGTGCTTCCCTCCCCCAGGGATGCCTCCATTCCTCCCTCAGCCCCCCCCCCACTTCCTCTGCCCTCCTCCCTGAGTCTCCCCTGCGCCCAAATACCCCCCCCCCTTGGCACGGCTCACCCCTCGCCCTGCGCGCTCTACCTCTCCAAAGCGCACCGTCTGGAGGGACCACCCAAGACGAGTAGGGGAGAGGGAAGTGATGGAAGGGGGTGGGTCTCTATCCAGCGCTCTCGTTCTCTCGCTTCCTTTAACCCTTACATGGACTCCCAATGTCAGTCTCTCCGGCAAATGTGACTCACCGAAGGGGTGGGGGTGGGGACCGGGCTATGCGGCGGCGACACTTCGGGTTCTTTTTGGAAAGCGCTCGCCCCTAGAGCTACGATCGCAAAGCAGCCCCTACCGGTGTTTGGATAGAAACAGGACGTGACGTCTCAAGAAAAACAAAGCTTTTGTTGGGTTTGTTTCATCAGAGCTGAACACATACACATACACATACTCTCTCTCCTCTCTCTCTCTCTCACACAGCAACCATGCGCTGCAGCCTGAACCACAATAAGCGCTAGTGCACTAGTGGGAACACAAGTGAGATGTGCATCCCAATCCTATACAATTCTATGTGCAAATGCTCCAAGTAAGCCTTTAACTTTTTGAACTTTGAACTAGAAACAAATTTCATTGCAAGCATCTGGGTTCACTTCTCAGACAATGCTGTTTTTGTTACGTTGTGGGTGAACATATCACATGGCACAGCGATTCTTCGAACAGCTCTTGTTTATTCACAGGCCAGAACAGAACTGAACTGAAGGGTTCAGCCAGCCTGCTTATATAGAGCTCCACTAGAACACAACAGTTACCATTTTCTGTAACTGTCCAATCACTGAATGTCACTTTCGATCCCTTATTTGCATATGTGGACCTGAGTGAAAACTATCTACAGTATCTCCCTGCTGGCCCAGGGTGATAATTTCTGTACATAAAAGTTTATTATTATTATTATTATTATTATTATACCTGAAGGTCTCCAGGCGGTTCACAGAAAAGATCACAACATATATAATCAGAATAAAAACAGCAACCCAATAGCACGCTCCAGAAAAGAGCCACATTTTTAAAGGGTATAGGATGCAGACCAGGACATTCATCCATCAACCTCTGAGGGATGATTTAGAGAGGATTGGGTCCAGCATCACTTTTCCCTGCATGTGTGTGCCAGAGCTACACCTCAGCCTTCCTCGGGGTTGAAGGTACACACAACAGGCAATAAACACGGGCGCCATAAAGATTCAGTCAAGTGTAGACATTGCCCTGACAGGCATAAAAGCTTATTGGCAGCAAATATGCACAGACATTCCCCACTGCTATCCATGGTCAAGGCATGCTTAGAGCCCAACAAGAGTCCAAGACTCTCTCTCTGCTTCTCTCAGCGCAAGGCGCAAGAAGAGACTCACAACAACTTACAGCAAGTTACCCAGAACTGTTGTTACACACTGCGCATGCCCAAAGAACAGTTCCTGCAGAAAATGTCCTTGCATAGATAAAACAATCTCAGCCTTCTGTTGCTTCTTGAAACTTCTTCTCTGTTTCTAGAAGAAATGATTCCCTTTTACACAGAGAGAATATCCAACATGTACAACTGCACCCAAACTGTAAATGCCAGAGGTTTCCAGGCTGGAGAGCAAAAGGAACCCGTAGAGAAGGGGGAGGAGGGTGGGGTGTCAGTGGACAACCGCCCTCCCCCATCTTTATACTGCATTCTCCTCTTCTCAGTTTTGAAGTCTTCCCTCCTTCCTTCCTTCCTTCCTTCCTTCCTTCCTTCCTAAATCTACCCTGCTATGGAGCCTTATCAGAGTCTGTGCCCCGCACACCCCCACCGTTTTAATGTCAATCAACTTTTTTGGGGGAGTGGGGTGGGCGGGCCTCTCAAATATTTTATTTGGGCAGGGGGCGACAGGACCTTGGCCTCTAGGAGCTGGCTCCTATGTCTCTTCTCCCTGGGGAGCCTCCCCTGAACCCAGAAAGACTTCCAAGGAAGCCTTTTTGGGGTGGTGGTGGGGTGGTGGTGTCTCTTCGTGCTTTTTCTCCCAGGCCCTCCCCCCCTCAAACCCCACACTGCATTTTTTACCTATTTGCTCTTTCTGCCCACCCCCTCCCCCTTGCTCGCTATTTTGGTTTCCTGCAATGTAAAGATCCGGGAGTGGGTGGGGGGTGTTGTCCACTGATGGCGACACTTTGGGTCCAGTCGTAGAGCAGCTCAAGTATTTGGGTGTGTGTGTGTGTGGCGTTTTAAAAAGCATCAAGAGAACAGCGCCTCTCAGCACTGGAAGCAGAGGACATGAAATGAAAGTCTCAGAAAAGCACCGGCTTGAGCAGGGGTCAGCAAACTTTTTCAGCAGGGGGCCGGTCCACTCTCCCTCAAACCTTGTGTGGGGCTGGACTATATTTTGAAAAAATAAATAAATGACTGAATTCCTATACCCCACAAATAACCCAGAGATGCATTTTAAATAAAAGGGCACATTCTACTCATGTAAAAAGACACTGATTCCCGGACTGTCCCCGGGCCAGATTTAGAAGGCAATTGGGCCAGATCTGGGCCCCGGGCCTTAGTTTGCCTACTCATGGACTTGAGAGTCAGGATTGTAATTGATGTGGAGAGAACTAGCCCCCTTTTGACGTAGCCAAGAATGAGGCAGAGTGATTTCATAGAATTGTGGTCCCTGCTACCCACGTGTGTTCGCACAGTAATAACGGGAACTTCCATGGAAATCCTTGAGGCTTGGCTTTCGCTTCAAGGCTCTCCCGGAAAAACAGAACAATTTGCACAGCTCTACAGTGGACAATAAAGGGACGCGGGTGGCGCTGTGGGTTAAACCACAGAGCCTAGGACTTTCCGATCAGAAGGTTGGTGGTTCGAATTCCCGCGACGGGGTGAGCTCCCATTGCTCAGTCCCTGCTCCTGCCAACCTAGCAGTTCGAAAGCATGACAAAGTGCAAGTAGATAAATAGGTACCGCTCCGGTGGGAAGGTAAACGGCGTTTCCGTGCACTGCTCTGGTTCGCCAGAAGTGGCTTAGTCCTGCTGGCCACATGACCCGGAAGCTGTATGCCGGCTCCCTCGGCTAATAAAGCGAGATGAGCGCCGCAACCCCAGAGTCGGCCCCTAATGGTCAGGGGTCCCTTTACCTTTACAATGGGGAATAGTCTGTTTAGTTTAGATTAGGAATCCTTTCTGGGCACTATGCTGCCTCATCCCTTTTCACAGATGACTAGTCCAGACTTCCTGTAAGCATAGAAACGTTGCTTACTTGCAGGAATTCAGTTACCAACCAATCAAATTTAAAACACATAGTAATGCATACAAGCATTTCTAGGTAGTTTTTGTTGGATGCATATTCTATTATTCCACCCATTTTCGTCTCAAATCTTCCTTTATTTAATGTTATCTGCTGCTCATATGTTCATTCTTACTTGTAGGTTATATTGACTATTTTACCCTCTAAGATACTCTTCAAAGCACTTCCACTCATCTCTCTTCCGTGACTCATCCTTATTTCTTAGTTTCGCAGTCATAGTTACTAATTTTGTGAATTCTATCAATTTATTCTGCCAAATTTCTTTCATGGGTATCTCTTTTTTCATTCCAGTTGTGTATAAAAATAGATTGAGTGTCTTTTTCGGGATATCATCACTTGTTATCCCTAATAGAAATGCCTCTTTGGGGAAATGTGATCTTGAATCTTTTTAAATTCTGTATGAATCATCTCCCAGCATTCCTTAGCATATTTACACAGCCACCACATATGGATGAGGGTTCCCTCCACCTCGTGGCACTTCCAGCATAGATTTGAGAGGGGCAAAATTGCACTCAGCTGCCTAATTTGGGTTTGTGGGGACAGCTCCTGTTGTTTTGAATAATTTGAAGTTAGGGTCACCACTCTGAAGGTGTAAGGTTTATCAGAGATGTCAAATGACAGGCAGCTTCTTCAGCTATCATACAGATTCTAGATTTAGAGTTAGACAATAACATAAGACACCAGAATTTGATTAGAAAATGAGGTTTTATTATCAGAGTCCTTGATACAGAAAAGAAATCGAAACAGCAACAGATATCAAGTTATGATTGAAACAGCAAGACCACAAAGCTGCTCCCAGAGAACTGGACCTCTCCCCAGATTCAGCTATTTCTGAAGAGGAGACAACCTATTTGCCTAAAAACACCTGCTTGTATACTATAAAATTGCCTCTGCCAAGCACACTTTGTGATGTCAACCTGTTAAACATTTCCTTTGGTTAGCGTCGATTCCAGGGCATATTTCCAGAAGGTCCTTAGCATCTGCACCCCAAATTCTGTTGATGGTGCAAAACCTAAGCCCATTTCCCATTTCTTCATGACCTAGGATTTCAACTGTACACCTAAGGCAAATCTTAGTCTGGCCAGCTGAATCATTCATGATCAGTATTGGGGGGCGGGGGAATCAATGTTCATTGTGGGTGCATCAGTTAGGAGTTGGTCAGAAAAAGGAGGCATGGGAGTCATTGGGTGGAATGAATCTACACAAAACGCTAATGGTCATTTTTCAGTCCATTTTTCAGTCATTCCCTTTGGAGCCTTTTGGGAAATAATAAGCCTGGGATCCAGGTTTTTTTCTTTTTAATTCCCCAATTATTTAATATCTGTAGTGCTAAGAATTAAATGCAATGTTTAGTCTTTTGTCTTCAGGTGCTCCTTCATGTTCAGATCAGGCCTCAATATAACAATGTAGCACTTTGGCATGAAGATACATCCCAGAAGCCCAGAACTGGAGGCCAAGATGGAGAAAACCTGAACGGCTACCATGTATTTCCCTTTGGTGCTCAGGTAGGTGGGCACAAAGGACACCCAAACACTGCAGAAGACCAGCATGCTGAAGGTGATCAGCTTGGCTTCATTGAAGGCCCCAGGCAGCTTCCTGGCTAGGAAAGCCACTGTGAAGCAGATGGCAGCCAGGAAACCCATGTAGCTGAGGGCAGTGTAAAACATAGCAACAGACCCTTCATTGCATTGCAAGGTAATCTCTCCAGGCTGGGAGTGCTTGTCAGAGTCTGGGAATGGGGGAAAGATCCCCAGCCAAGTGGCGCAGATAAGAACTTGTGCACTGGAACAGGAAATGACAATGGAGTTGGCTAAACCCTTCCCCAACCATTTCCTCACCCTACTCCCTGGCTTTGTGGCCAGGAAGGCCAGCACCACAGCAATGGTTTTTGCCAGGATGGAAGAGACGGCAACTGAGAAAATGATGCTGAAGGCTGTTTGTCGCAGAAGGCAGGTCATTTTTGTTGGCTGGCCGATGAAGAGGAAGGAGGACAAAAAGG